AGAATCCGAACGAACAACTGTTGACAAAGAACCAAAATAATTTTATCAGAATATGCACAGTTGAGAGCTGATTTCACGCAAGTGTGTTTGGCAGAGTATAGTTATAATTGCTTTTTAAAGTATTTACCAAGATCAATACATCAAAATGATTTAAAAACATCAAAAATATATTAATTTAAAAAAAAAAATTCAAATTTCTTAGAAAGACCTTTCCAAACACACGGCCAAACGTTGGTAAATGCGTGCAAGAATAGACACATGGAGGGGCAAAAAAATCCATTCCATAGAGAAGGCCCAAATAAGTCAAAGAGGAGGTAATGCAATTAACAATAGCTGAAATGATTTAGTCCATAGAGGTAGCCCGAGTAAGTCAAAGACATGGTAGTAGTTAAAATTACCAAGACGGAAACGACTACACTGAACAAAGCCCTTTGGAACAGCTAGCTTATTTATTCACATCATAACAGAGAGAAAAATCACTTTTTTCCATGGCATGAGTGAAGGTAAGATTCTATCAAACCAAACAAAGCCATGGTCCTAACGATTCCTTAATAAAAGAAAAAAAAACACCACATCCCCTACAATCGAGATCATTAGACTCCTTTATGTTTGAGATTAGCGGTGTTTTTTATTTAAAAATATATTAAAATAGAAATATAAAAAAATAGTTTTTAACCAAAAAAACAAAAAAGAAAAAACAAAATTACACAGACCTTTAATACTCAAACATAGATAGCATCGATCCAACTTTGACCAAACCCACAGCCCTTCAATCTTACAACACTTGTGACATATCAGAGCACACCTTATCGAATCAGAAACCTCAGTGGACATTACTCCAAGGCCCCACATCGATTACTAAAGAATCCTCATTTTTTTTTTAAAAAAAGGGCTCTCAACTTTAACCCAAAATCTAATTCTGACTTGATTTGGACAGACGACAACATTCCAATCAGCCTATAAATTTCCTAGCCGTCAATCAAAGGGAGATTCGCTTAACAATGATCGCAAAATTGAACAAAATCAAATCAGATTCAATAAATCAGGAGAAAAAAACAGCAATGACCCAGAAGCCAAAAACCCCAGATCTTAAAGCGACAGGTTTGTACAAGGAGAGGATGAGAAAGAAAGGGAAGGGTGGAGTCTTACTGGGTTTCTGAGGATTTCCATCGACAAACTTGGTAACAGCAAAATGAACCTTTTCCCTGGAAAGAGCTTCAGTCTTGTATGGTTCTTTGAGACAGTTTCTGACAAGATTAGCACAGATGTTCGAATATGTTATGTAGGTCATGCCGGCGGCCCTCCAAAACGGCGCTGCTGCATTCGACGCCATCGGAATTACTCTCCTCTCCTCTTCTTGTCTCTCTGATTTTCTATCTAAAGAAAGGACACCATCATTTGCCTCGTGTGTTTTGTGCTGACCTGGTAGTTTCTCATGGGCTCATTATTGGCCCACTAAAGTTTTTAGCCCAAACAAATTACTACCCACGATGTGCCTCTTTGTGAGCAAGATGATATTTTTCTCTGAGGTAGTTCTTGATAGTTGATACCCGTTAGAGTTGATTTTTTAAATGTTTTTCAGTATTAAAATAATTTTTATTTTTATTTTTTTAAAATTTCTTTTTAATATTAACACATTAAAAAAATATAAAAATATAAAAATAATTTTAAATAAAAAATAATTATTTAAAAAATACGCGGTTAGCCACATAAATAAAGTTGTTTATCTTGGATTAATTCCCGTGAAATGAACACGATAACTGATAAATATCTATAAAATAACGTTACTCTCCTCCCTTCAGAATCTTGAACAATCTAATTTGTGTTAATGGTAGCGACCATAATCTTACCTGATTTAAGACAGAACTATTTATACCACCATTTGATGATATGATATGGTAGTGCTATTTAACACTACCTCCTCCTGCTGCATAATGTTGGACCAATCTGAAGGAGTTTCTTCACTTTTGCAGGAAAACATCCATATCCTTTCAGCGATCAGGTTGTCATATATGTTCGCCATGTTGGACCTGGGGTGTTAGTGGGGCAAGCATGGCAAGAAGGGAAGGAATTACAGCAAGTTCCTCAGAAGTTATGTGATGAAGTTTTGATGATTAAAGATTGCGCTGCACCTATAGAATATCCCTGAAGAAATCTCCGTCCTTGTTTTTCATTTCCTTTCAATGGTTGATCTAGAGCAGCTGATCGAATCTTGAGCCCTCAAGTAGAACAACTTTAAAAATATCGATGCCAATGAGCAAATAGGGAGGAAGAAATTAGAAAGTGTAGTTTCTGTAATGTTCTTCTAGTTCTTTGAATCTTGAATATGGCCTCCTCAGTTTATGTGTAGCGTGGAGTATTGCGCCGTTCAGATGCAGTACACGTACAGAATGCCAAGCCTCACTCCCAGACAATCTCTCTCGTTACTGCGTTTTAGTAATTTAGTGATGATTTTGCTGAAATGGTGCCAATTACTTCATTTTATTGAGAGAGAATGATTAGAATGTAATTCAATAAAAGATAACAAGGGGATTTTGCAATCGAGCGAATATCGGGGTGGTGAGTGTAAGAAAATCTTCCCTTCCCTTCCTCTCTTACCAGACTCATTATCAACATCAGCAACTGTCTTCTGTTCTGGTCTCTCAAAAAGCCCTGACTTCTATCTGTCCATTGTTTGACCATCAAGACTTTGTGCTAAAAATAAATTCTTGAATTCCCAAACCCAAGTTGCCCTTTCTCTTACAAAGCCACAAATGCATCTCCAAAACCAATCTCTCACCACCCTCTTACCTCTCCCTTTCCTCTTTCTCCCAAAACCAACAAAGCCCCACCAATTCACAACTTCAAAGCAGCAAGACCCAGTTTCCCAATTCTACTTGAAATGTTCTCTTTCAACTGTATCAGCTGAGCCACTTCCTCATGTTGTTGGGTCCTCAAATGATAAGCCCTTTCCTGCTGAAGTTTCAAGAACCATCATGGAGTTATCTTCACTTGGCACTCTTTCTACTTCTAACCCTGATGGTTGGGCCATTGAGAGTTGGTGTTAGGTTTGCTGTTGATGATGATGGGACCCCTGTTTTGTGCCTGGGTGATTCTTATAGACAGTTTCCCGTTGATAAAAGGTCTAGTCTTCATGTTCAGGTAATTCAGTTCAATTCATTGATTCTTCAATTTGCAAAAAGATAGAATCTTTATGTATCGAACATGTGTTCTTCTTTTTTTCTTTTTCTTTTTTTGTGTGTGAATATTTATACTGTAATTAATGATCTTTTTTCAATGTGAATTGGGTTTGGATTAGCTGGAACAATCTGGAATGAGGACTCCTCAGTGCACCATTCAAGGCAGCCTTGATAAGCCCGAGGACACAAAGGTTTTAAAGGTGAAAAAAAAATCCTGTACTTGACTCTTCCTGTGCAGAGAGCCTGAGAATGGTTTTTTTCTTGCATTCATGGAAGATTGTATTTTGAATTTGAAATGAAAAGGTTTGGAGTGGGTATTGAATCCATACTAAAATTTGCCAACGTTTTACACTCACGCACACTATACAACAGTCAACAAAAGAGTAACCCCTTCCCAAAACCTAAAAGAAAATTAGAATCCAACTTGAAGACCATGAGGAACTAAACCATACCAAACTAAACCACAAAGGTGAAGAACTTAGCTCTGCAGAAAAGAACTGTTGCAAAAAACCCAAAAGCAAGCTGAGTGAAGAGACCAAGTTCATCACCGTCATCATCAGTTGCTGTAACATGGAACAGAACGTAGATCGGAACACTAAGCACTAAAATTTATGCTTTATAGGGTGAAAATATCAAGGTACTAGGAATTGTTGTAAAACCCCAACACCTGAGTTGACGGTCGATCTAAAACAATATTTTTAAAAAATTTATCTAGAAAATCATCTATTTGAAGATACTGATTGAAGCTTAGGACAACCTGTCAATTAAAGCTTAGTTAACAAGTGTACTGAGAGTACATTGTTTTTTGAACCTTTTTTTTATAAAAATATTAAAATAATATTTTTTTATTTTTAAAAATTCATTTTTAATATAAAAAATCTCAAAAAAAAAAATTGAATTTTACCTGCTTATGTTTGTGCTGCAATCTCAACGAGGGCCTGGTAGATAGAGTTGAAATGATTTTTTACTGTAGTAATAAATAGAAAAAGGACATGTTTTTCCTATCATCCTTTATTGTTGTCAGCCACCAACCTCGAAATATTAACCTGGAATCCTTCATCCATGGATTATTGTTGTTAGCCACCAACCTCGAAATAAAATCTTCTTATTATTAATCTGCTATATTTCATCCAGATGAATTCAATTGTAGATCAACCATTCAAATTTAGTATGATTAATATTTAAAAATAATTCAAGATAAAAATCTGACTTATCTAAAATAAATTTAATAATCACATGGAAGACCGGGATGTCTGGCATGGAGAAGTGAAAGGATGTGCTCCCGATAGAAGGGTCAAATAAAAGAAAAGGAAATGAAGGGGATATCTTTTTCTTCTTTCATCTTTTTGTTCATTTCACAAGCGGGATGACATTGAGAGGAAAGAAGGTGAAGAAAGGAACATTTTCTTAGTTTCGGAGTGAAGCATTCCACTCCAAGACAAAAGAACTCAAGGACAGCCAGCTGATCCAAAAGGTTAAGAACATCATTTGCTAGTTGATCACATTTATAAGGTTCTACAAGTCATAGTTTATAGATTCCAGATAACATTGAAGCACTCAATGTTGTCCTAATAAACACAAATTAATTCATAATCCACATTAATTGCAGAGATTTGTCTTTCTGTCTACGTTAATAGAACACGGTGATGGCGCATGATTTGTGTTTTCGTAGTGGTTAGCAGAGCCATTTGATCAGCGCCACTCATGAATAAATTTCTCACCTAAGGGCTAGCTCGCCATGCTAAGTAACAAAACAATGAAAGCCTAGCCAAGCAAGCTTCACTTCAAATCCTACTTACCAGAAGTCCTTGTGATTTACAAGACAGGAGCTAGCTATAACATGAAAACATATCGGTTGCAGATTTTCGAGCTCTAGCACGAAAACATATTGAATTGCAGAATTTCTAAAAGAGTCTCAGACGAGTGGAAGAGAAATTAGTTAATCCATGAAAATTGCATCCGAACGCTTACGAGCAAAAAACATGCCAATTTTGAATTAAAAAAGAGACGTTAATTTAACAGGAAAATATTTCAGACCCCTTTCATGTAGAAAGAATTATGTAGCCAGAAGTGTCAACCGAAAGTTATCTGTCACAATATCTTTTATTTTATCAATCAAGCGATTTTGTTTGGTGCTGCCAGACTTGCTTAGCTTTGGCTGAAAGAGAGAGCTGAGCATGGTTTCCAAACCTTGCGTAGTATATTTCACATGTCTGCCGGGACTAGCATCAGTTTCTGCCTGAAACCCATAGTTCTGCAAGTAACTCCTGTGAACAGGTACAAAAGCCTGGACTACAAGTTTACACATCTTCAACCTCAAGTCTTCATTTGGAACAACCCAATTGGATTGCTTCTGGTACATGTGATCAAACTCCTCATTGAATGACTTTAGTCTCTTCTTGACCGAATCCCCCACGAATCCCCCGGTAGGAGAAGATAAAACTCGACCCTCTTGGCTAAGAAGATTAAATATTTTTCCCCAACTTTCTCTCAGGAAAAGAGTCATGTAATAGTCCCTATACTGTTCATGAGCTTTCAACCAACATTCTCCCATCAAATCTCCAAGCTTTGTGCCTTTCAAACTGCAAAGGTGACAATGGTTGTTCATCATGAAAAGGTAGGACAACGTGAAATCATAGTGGGCTTTTGACCATGCATCCAAGTTTAGACCAATCTGCTTTATTATGCAATAAATCTGACTGGTGATAAGCTCTTCTTGGTACTTGTCTTGTTTCCAACTCTGTTGAATTGTCAGAACCCGTGTGAGTAATGGCTTATAATCATCCCCTAGTAGACGATTGCAGTAATCCGTTACAAAGCTTACTAGCCTTGGAACACTACCATTTAAAGAAGGAGAACTTCGCCTTTGCAGCTCCACTTGGATCGGAAGTTCCCAGAAAACTTCACAAGCACCATTAACAACTCCCTTGATGAGATCCCTAGTCAGAGTCTGGATTTCAATGCATGCTGGCCCTCCAAAAAGTCTATTGAAATCCACTCTCAGATTTTCCAAGATCGCAAAAATGTCCAATAGCTTCAAGATCTTGATTGGATCATTCTTACACACTGTAATTTTCTTTCCAAAGTGGAGGAAAGAAAGAATTCCTGATTGTATAGCGATTTTTGCAAAGCAGTCCATCCAAACATCTGGTCCATTCTTCTCAAAAACATCACTGCAAAGCTTGTACTCGATTTCAAAAACGGGCTTTATAGCCAACTGGAAATGCTTGCACCATTGATCTATGTAACACTCTACATCTTGTACGTCACCGAATTCGCTGATCGACAGGTCAAGGTAATTCAAGTCAAGAGCTTGAAAACTTCTCTTGGTATTCAAACTCCGGATTTCAGCATAGGTTGAGATACACTTCTCAAGCCTGTTATCTGCATTTAGTTTGCCAATAATAGCCCTAAGCTTCTGCACAACAGCCACTTGCAGAGGAAATGGAGCAGTGGAGGCTTGATCTCCAATGGAAGATGAGACAAAATCCCAAACAACATGGATGCAGTTTTCAGTAAGAAGCCGCCTGAATTCAATTTCGAGTTTGTCGAATGCAGCACAAAGAACACCCCCACTGAGCCGAGCACGTTTCTCGGTAGCTTGCAACTCTTGCAGAATGCTTAAAGACTTCTTGACCTTCATGATGTACAGATCATTAGGAACTGCATTTTCCAGAAACTCAAGAACAGCCTCCAGCCAGTGAATTGCTAGCCTACAGTTGTCAGTCAGAAATTTCAATGATTCCTCAAGCTGTTTCACCATCAGCAAGTAAGTGGAAAGATCAGAACACGGGTGTGATAGTAGTGACTTCTGGAGCTCTTGAATGGTATCATACACCTTCAGCACTGCTGCAGCAGGACCGATGGCACAATCAATATGCTCTCTAATTGCAACAAATGTGCACTTTTTCCTGGGGACATGTCTAACAGCGGCTCCCACTGTTGGCAATCTTTGTTTTATCCCCTCCAATTTTTGGCCAGTATTGTCTAGAGCTGAGGCAAGAGCTCGTGAATTCTCTAAGCTCGTCTTCAAGACTATCCTAGCAGCTGAAAGATTGTCAATGCCATCCACTGGAGTCATTGCCAAATCAAGTCCTTGCCCTAAGAAATGACTCAACTGCTATTCATTTGATGTTTAAGCACGAAATTGCACTCTTAGGATTCAATAAAAATCTAAAAAGATTCTTTCTTGGTTTCTTCTTTGTCACTCGATTTACTTTTTCTTTACCGAACTCACCAAATCAGGTAAAAAAAACACAAGACAGCCCATATTCAAACCAAACCTCACTTACAAAACAAACATCTCTCAAAAACCTCAACAACCAGGTATAGACTTCCAAAATCAAAACAGAAAAATAACCCCACCTGGGACTTTAAAAACAGCATCTGAAGTTTCACTTTTGTTCATCAACCTTAATATACCAACATGACAATTACAGTAACTGAAGTTTCTACTTTCTATCAACAACTAAACAACCAATCGTGAATCAGAAGAAAACAGAAACTTACATGTTCAGAATCTTCATTGATGACATCAAGATATGCAAACAAGGAAATCCTCCATGAACCCTCTTTTCCTTTTCCTTTGTTGATGATGATGATGGTACTGGAAATAACAGGACATGAATTCTACTGCTAGCTGATGATTTCTTGCTGAAGATTGAAGGGATTCTTGGCGATGCATATCATTCATTATAGTATTTTGATGCATTAAAATCCATGATCCTATGAATACTGGTTCACGAGGTGGCCCAATACCAATAAACCCTAAATTTAATGCTTTCTTTTTCTTCTTCAGAAAAATATATTTCACTACCTCAAGCTTTTATTCTGCACCAAAATACAATGTTTTTGTCTCTTGGGGACAATTCTGATGGGCGTCCCCTAAGTTTTTCTTTCAAAGCTTTGATTATAGCCTGATCTACTGTTTAGACTTTCTTTGCTTTCTTTAGTGTCAAAGGATTCAATTGCTTTCTTTCTGATGTTCCATGCAATGTCACTTTCGCTCCCTTTTTTCCTATTTGTACGTTAAATTCTCTGTGCTCCACTTTCCCTGCTTCAACATGTCCAAGCTCTTCACAAGGGCAGGTTCCTTGGGTTCAACAAAGAGACTGAATCGATCTCAGTAAGTAATCTGAGATATCATGAAGAAACTTGTGTACATTGATAATGTTATTAGAGTACCATTCCCAAACAAGCCACCATTTTTGTCCTCCAAGCTTAGGACGCGCAACACCAAATCGATCTCAGTAAGTAATCTGAGATATCATGAAGAAACTTGTGTACATTGATAATGTTATTAGAGTACCATTCCCAAACAAGCCACCATTTTTGTCCTCCAAGCTTAGGACGCGCAACACCAAATCCTGTTCTATTTTATGTTTCTAAAAATTCAAAATTAAGATAAAGAAAATTAGGCATTTTGATCCTATCCAGTACCCACATCCCTTTAGTAACTTGAGCTTCTGGCATTTAAACAATTTATCTATAACTAAATTATTTTATTCCAAGCACAAAAAGTCAAACATGCAGAGTGATGAGAAAACAAAATGGCTCCTAAACCAAACTAAACACCAAAGAACTTGGATGGAATGTCGAGAAATAGCTGTTAAAATTGATCTGGGACGACTTGGTCATAGGCAGAGAGAGTTAACTTTTGTTTTTGAAAAAAAAAAGAATATTTTGAAAAAAAAAACTAAAATAATGTTGTTTTTTTTTAAATAATCAATAAATTTTAAAATATTTTTTGTTTTTGTGCTTCAAAAGTGTTTTTAAAAAATTTATTTTTTTTTATTTTTTTTTAATTAATATTTTTTTATGGTTTTATATCATTTTAATATGCTGATATCAAAATTGATTTTTAAAAAAATAAAAAAATATTATGTTGATATATTTTTTAATAAAAAATATTTTAAAAAATAATCGTAACTACATTCTCCAATGTACTAAATAACTCTAATTTTTAATTGAATCACTTTATTTTTTATTTGTGCATCCGTCTAGACTCGATCTCTAGTACAAGTTTTATACCTATTGTTGAAAGAGATAATAAAAAAATAATTTTCATATTTTTGGAATGATAAATAGGAGTTTAACTAGTGAGGTAGTCCATGTAATGCAGATTAACTTTTTTTTTCATAAAAATATTAAAAAATTTAAGATTTAAGAGCTTGCAAAGGAAAATCAAAGAGTCTTGAGTTTAGCTACAACACCAAACCCAATAATAATAGTTATAATATTAATAATATTATATAACTTGTCTGATAAGTTCATATATTTTGTAATCTATTCAAAAAACAATTGTGGTTTTCTTCCATAGTAATAATATTTTTTTAAAAATATATTAATGATAATAATAATAATAAATTTTAAGTTTATTCTTCAAATCAAATCTATGATTATTTTTCAATATTAATTTTTTAAATTTATTAATTATTATATTAATAATATGAATTACAATACAAATAATAATATTTATAAAATAAATAATAATATTAAACTTACCAAAGTTTAAGTGGATTTCATTGCAACACTAAATCTAAAAGTTTTGGGCTCCTTATAAATGACACATCGAAGAGCTTTGGATCTGACTGCAATCCAAACCCATTAAACTTGGGTGAGGACGCAAGACCTAAGAGCTTTGGACCCAACTGTCTTAGGTCAAGCATGACTGAAAGACTCAAGAGACTTGATTTACATCCCTGCCACTCCCAAACAACTTGTATCCAGCACACCTTTTCAGCCCTAAGTTTCTTGGATATGGAAAGGTAATTGATTTTAATCTTCAAATCAAATCTATATTTTTTGTCTGGCCTAAGTTTTTATAGTTTTAAATTTATTCAAATAAAACTTATTGTTTTTCCGGCACACCTTTTCAGCCCTAAGTTTCTTAGATATGGAAAGGTAATTGATTTTAACCTTCAAATCAAATCTATATTTTTTGCCTGGCCTAAGTTTTTATAGTTTTAAATTTAATTTTTTGTCTGGCCTAAGTTTTTATAGTTTTAAATTTATTCAAATAAAACTTATTGTTTTTCTTCGATAGTAATAATATTTTTCTTCAAATGTATTAATGATGATGATGATGATTTTACCCTTCAAATAAAATCTATGGTTGTTTTTCAAAAATAATGATATATTTTTTAAAATTTTAAATTATGATATTAATTATAATAATATAAATAATATAAATAATAATATTCTGATAATAATAATAATAATAATAATAAACTTATCTAAGTTTAAGTGGGTTTGGCTACAAAACGAGATCCAAGTGTTTTGGACTCATCTTAAATGTAAGACCCCAAAACTTTAGGTATGGCTGTAATCCAAACCCATAAGAGTTTGGTCATGGCATCGAAAAACATTGGATCTTGTCATAGAGTCATTAGCCAAAGGGACTTGAGTCTATACCCCTCCCACTTCCAAATAACTGAGGTCAGGCGCTCCTTTCCAGCCCTAAGTTTCTTGGATCTAGAAGGACATGCCGAATCTAAGTTAATAATAATAATAATAATAATAATAATTGATTTTATTTTTTAAATCAAATCAGTATTTTTTATAATAATAAAATTTAATAATATTTATGATATTAATAGTAATATTAAACTTATCTATCCTAAATTTTTATAGTTTTTAATCCCTTCAAATGAAATTTATTGTTTTTCTTTGATAATAATAATATTTTTCTTCAAATTTATTAATGATGATGATGATGATGATAATTTCACTTTTGAAATAAAATTTATGTATGTTTTTCAAAATTAATGATATATTTTTAAACTTTCTTAATTATGGTATTAATTATAATAAAAAAAATAAAATTTATAATCCAAATAATAATATTTTTAATATTAAAAATATTAATTATAATAAAAATAATAATATTTCTAAGACAAGCAATAATATTTTTAATATTAATAATATTAATATAAAAAAAATATTTTTAATACAAAAAATAATATTAATTATAATAAAAATAACAATATTTATAATACAAATAATAATATTTTTAATATTAATAATAAAAAAATTTAATAATAATAATAATAGTAATAATAAAATTAAAAATATTTTTAATACAAATAAGAATATTATTAATAACATGAAACTTACCCAAGCTTAATTGAATTGGCTGCAATACAAGATTTAAAAGCTCTAGACCCCTCTTAAGAGTGTTTTTATTATTATTGTATCTATTGTTTTTTTAACAATATTGATAAGATAAATAATAATATTTTTAATATTAGTAATAAAAATAGTTATAATACAAATAATAATATTATTGGGTATGACTGCACAGTTAAATCTAATGAATATTGGATTTAACTACACAGTTAAATCTAATGAATATTGGATTTAGCTACCCAACCAGACCAAAAATCGATGAGTCTGGCTAAGCAATAAATCCAACCTCCTTTTAAAGTGTTTTGCTAGACCCAACATTGTTGGGTTTTGCTGGGCAAAAGGACTTACAATTATTAGCTCTTTTTGGAAGTGTTTAATGTCTGACTTGATAGCCACACCTAATAACTTTTAGCAGAAAAGACAATACCTCATAAACAATTCTTAACTGAAAACACAGGAGAAAAATGCTCTTTTAAGGCACTACAGTATTGTTCAAAGTGAAAACAATCCATAGTTACAGTGTTATCTATAGTATAATGTGTCTGTATTTATTTCCACACTTTAATTTTATAAAAGCTTAACAGAAAGTAAATCTAACAGTACAATTCATAATAAAAACATTCATGATTTATAATAAAATTACTTATAATTCATAGTAATTTACGTTACAGTAAAACATTAATTTCTTTTAATTATAGTTAATTTAGGGACACTTAAAATCTATGATTAATTGTAATGAAGTGGGATTTTCGTATAATTCTTTTTTTAACCGAAACTTCGGAAATGAAGTGTGCCATAGCCTAAAATTGTGTTTGTATGATTGTACCAAATTTAAATTCCAAACGCAAGAAATATTTTGGGTACGTTCGTGGGTACTGACCAAGCAAATATAGGCAAATTTAAAAAAAGAAACTTTATATTTCAAATTCATGCAAAGAAGTTGCTAATTGCATCCATGATTATATTTGGAACTTTATACTTCAAATTCAAAGCAGTTACTAATTGCATCCATGCTTCTATTTGACATTAAGGTTTACTAGTACTTTTTTTAAAAAAAATAATTTTTTATTAAAAAATTTTATTTTTAAATTATTTTGATATGATAACATTAAAAATAAATTAAAAAAATAAAATAATATTTTAATATATTTATAAATTAAAAATATTTTAAAAAATAATATCTACTGTATCCTAGCGAACAAGTCGATATCTAAATTTCAATTTCAAAATTGTTTTTTAGGGTAAGGATAATTTCGTCACTCAATGATACAAAATCCCAGAGCAGTGTCCCAAACCGCTAATAGAACAGGTAGGCGGCAATAGCGTCATGCCCTGTACGTCTCCCACCCGAAAGGCGTAACTTAAGGGAGTGAGGGAGAGAGGTAAGCACAATGGAAGAGGCAGAAGGGAAGGCATTTTGCCAGATTGTTCAAACAATGGAAGATTCAGGAGGGAAGGCATCGTGCAAGATGGTTCAACGGCCTGAGCTACTTGACTATGTATGTATAATCTTCTTTGATATACATTCCCCCCCGGCAAGTGCTCTCTGTCAGACAATTTAGTGTTGGGAAAACCCTAAGTTGATTGAGATTAAAATTACATTCAAATGTTTGATGACAAGTTCTACCACCCTTGAAAACGCTAATTCTTCTTTGATCTAACTTCTTGAAGACTGATCATGTGTGTTTCTGAATATAATATAGTAGACTACTTCGTCGAATCATGCCGATAGCACAACCAACAACACACAGCTGTAAGTTCTCTTCCTTTTCTTTTCATAATGCCTGAAATCATAATTCCTCTTTGGATATTAAGTACTCTTACTCGTATTCATGTGATCTGTTTAATAGATATTTTCTTTTACGGCTCCAGATGTTTGGGTTCATCTCTGTAGTTGTAATAGGATGAACTGAGTTGTACACGTGAAAGCATAAGACATCAATGGCCCCCTGTCGAATCAGACATGCGGCTGAGTTCTGAATATTCATAATACGTTATTAATATAAATGACAAAATGAATATCATTTTATGGATTGGAAGGATATTTCGAAAAATTCCATTGCAATTTTTTCTGGGTGGGGTTGTAAAAATGTAACTTCATTATTTGATTCAGAAGTTTTTTCGAAGAAGGAATTGCTCAATTTCCTCTTCTTGGATCACACACATTACACATATATTGTTTTACGTTGATCATCCCATTTTTTCTATACAATTCATTATTAATTAATAAACGAACTAGTAAAATATCCCTGAATTTACGTTGTTTGCACTTGTTTTATGTTGTAGAAGATCTTGAGTTTCAACATCTAATTTCAATAGCATTCTTCCTTTTTGGGTGCCATACTTGTTCATTATGTGTAACTTTCAAGTTTTGTGACTATATATCAGTGTCGATGCTGCTGCTATAGAGTCACGCCAACGTGATGATCAATACCAAAAGCTTACAAAATATGATGGGGATAGTGCTACACTAGTTATAGATCCTGTCACTGCTACAAAATATGGTATTGAAGTTTCACACGATTCTCTTGCTACTTGCTGGGAATGCGGCCAAAAGATTATGAAAGGAGAGGTGGTTTCTTATGCATCTTTATTCTCTAGAGATCATTTTTAAACCTCATATTTCTTTATGTGTGGCGAACCAGATTCATAAAGTCATGCATTATACACATAAACCAAACATTTTTCCTCTGGACATGTTTTTCAGAGATAATCAGATATCTGCCCTATTTATCAATGACAGCAGATCATTAATTGAGTGTAGTGAATTACCATTGGAATGCGTGTCTGCCCAATTTATCAATGACAGCAGATCATTAATTGATGGGCATAGGAAATTAAGGCTCCAATGTAGTAGTAAAACCCCCCCTCCCCTCCCCCTCCTGGTTATTGAATACCAAAACACTAGTCTCTAAGAACAATGTAGTTGGTTCAATCGATCCAAAAATTTAAAATGTTTGGGAAGCTTCTATTCTAGCAGAATTTGGCGCTAGAATAGCATCTTCTAAAATAATTTGTGAAGAACATTTCAAAGTCAAAGCAAATCATTTGAAAGCTTATTGGTGGAAGGCGATGGGATTGATGGGAATGTTTGAAGTCTTTTCAGTACTATGTTCAAATCCTGCGTCATCTATTGATAATTTCTAAGTCTATCGTATAGATTTTGATCTTATGAATTGCCTTCCTTTTCTGCTGAGATGGCATGGATACATATAGAAAGTAAATGCCACTTAATTGCTGATCACCACTCAAAATCTAGGTTCATGTATTCTTAAGGGTCGAGGGACAAGCCAGTAAGAGATTGGTGTTGGACCATGCCAACTGTTTCATGAATTTGTACCGGCCATCTATCCAAGTGGAGAAGTTGGCTGGATGGGAAACTCTTTCAGCTTGTGATCAGACAGCTGTTCTTTTACTGGTCAAGAAGGTTCCTCCTGCAGCACTAACAGGTATGTGAAATTGTTATGAATGCCTTGGTGACTCTTGTATACTTATATCATGTTTGTATGTCACTGGTCACCATCAATTTCTCATACGGTGTCTTCCTAGACATTAAAGATATGGGAAAAGAGGATAGAGAATTCCCACAATCAGCTTCTAAAGCCGGTACAAAACGTAGGAAAGATGTCGATGGTGATCAAAATTTAAAAGCTGCCATGGCTGAAGAAGATGTGATGAGTAGCAGGGCTGCATTTGCATCTGAAAAGAACACTAATGATTGGGAACCTAAACTTATGGCTCAATCCAAATACTCGTGGTCTTTAGCAGAAGAGTGTAAAATTAAGGTAAGTGGTAATTCCAGTGTTGTGTGGATTGCTTGAAGCCACTATTCGCACTGACTTTGATTTGCTGGAACGCTGGTAATACTACAGCTTAAATTATCAAGGGATTGCCAATTTGGAACAGAAAAGAAGCTTCAACTTGAGCCAATCAATGCTAAAGCCCTACCTGAGACATCATGCAAAACTATGCCTGAAGCTTCTGGTGCACCAGATTTTGTGGGGGCTGCTAGTACATGGTCGGCAACAGAGTCAAAGGTGTGGTCATCGCTCTAAACTTGTCGTCAACTTTTAGGAAATGTTAGGAACATTTTATGTAAGGTGGGAAGAGAGAACAATGCTAAACAACAAAGAACAATAATACGCTAACACTAGAAGAAGATATAAGCTAGAATTAGGAAATAAGACTCGGCTGAGAACCTCTAATGTCTGAATATATTGATAGTAAATAATAAATGATGTTCTGTAAATTAGTCTTGGCAGCCTATAATACCAGTTGAAGGACTTAATCCTAATTCATATAGGAAAAGAACTTGTTGAAGTCGCATGCTAATTGAAAATCCAAATAGCATAAGAATTTTTAAACTAAAAGGAAGCAAAAACAGTAGGGAAACTAAAAAGAACAATTTCTGATACATGAACTGTAAACATTTTTTTTTGTTGTTGATTTTGTTGGTTTATTTCAGAAATCAAACATCCATAAATTTATATAATTTGATAATTTATCTATTCCATAAAGCTACTAATTTGTATTAATTAAATAAAAAAACAATACAAAAAAAAAAACACTCTCTCTACTCAACTCACTTTCACTCAAACTCTTCCTATCTTGTTCTTTATGTATTCTCTACCCACACAACGCTTTATTGTGTATATATATACACTCTAAGCTGGGAGCAAAAATCATAAATTATATCATGATTTATACTTTAAATTAAACTTTATTATGTGCTAAGTGAAAAATTAATTAGTCATACTTGTATATAATAAAAATAAAATATTATTTAGCTCTACTTTACTAATGTAAATTTTAGTTAATATGGGTTGATTCTGCAGGAAGAATACAAGGACAAAAAAGAGGCATTGAGTGATTAAGGGCTGAGAACATCTAATGTCTGAATATATTGATAGTAAAAAATAAATGATGTTCTGTTAATTAGTCTTGGCAGCCTATATATACCAGTTGAAGGACTTAATCCTAATTCATATAAGAAAAGGACTTGTTGAAGTCGCATGCTAACCGAAAATCCAAATAGCATAAGAATTTTTAAACTAAAAGGAAGCAAAAACAGTAGGGAAACTAAAAAGAACAATTTCTGATACATGAACTGTAAACATTTTTTTTTTTTGGTTGATTTTGTTAGGTTATTTTAGAAATCAAATACATATAAATTTACATAATTTAGCAACTTGTCTATTCTACAGAGATACTAGTTTGTATTAATCAATTAAAAAAATAATATGAACAAGAAAAAGGAGAAAACACGTCTCTACTCAACTCACTTTCACTCAAACTCTTTCTATCTTGTTCTTTATATATTTTTTACCCATGCAACTCTTCATTGTATATATATATATATATGCTAAGCTGGGAGCAAGATTCATAAATTATATCATGATTTATATCTTAAATTAAATTTTTATTATGTGTTAAGTGGAAAATTAATTATTCATACTTATATATAATAAAAATAAAATATTATTTGTCTCTACTTTACTAACATACTTGTAAATTTTAGTCAATATGGGTTGATTCTGCAGGAAGAATGCAAGGACAAAAAAGAGGCATTGAGTGATTATATTATTGACAAGATCGATAAAGGTAGTTGCTCTATCAATTTAGGTTTAATCGAAACATTATAACTGCCATAGCAGGTTATCTTGCTGAATTGACTCGTGCCTTTTTGTGTTGCTTAACTACAGATATTGCAGACATGGCAGATAAGGGTTGCACAATTGATAATGGAGGAGTGGATTACAAACTTTTTCTGCTGAGTAAGGCATGGTAAAGCTGCTTTCACTTGCGGGTTTTTTTTTGTCTCCCATATGATCTTTATTCTGGTTGGTTAGATTTAAATGTTTTGGTTGATGTGGGGGGGATGGTGCTTTTGTATTACTACTAATCAGGGGGTATATGAAAGAAAGGAGGCTTCTACTCAAGCAAATCGATGCCGAAGCCACACCAAAGACGACAACATGTAAAGCTATGGCTGAAGCTTCTGGAGCAAAATGCAAAAGAGGTGATGGTGATGGTGATTTGGAGTTGAAAGTTTCCAAAGCTAGAGGAGAGGTGATAACTATATCACTTGAATCTGTAAAAACTTCCAATGATTTGGAAAACAGTAAGCTGGAGGCTGAATCCAAAGAAGTGCAGGGTTAGACAGAAGAATTAGATACATGTGTCGATGCCACAACCAGAGTTGGTTTCTAAAGTCAGTCGACAACGAAGAGTACAACGGAGAGTGATTATATGTGCCCTGACCGGCCACGTTATTGATATCAATAACGTCTATGAAGAACGGGACACTTTATGAGATTTCCTTTTAACTTGTCATCTTCTTTTTCAAGCAACATATTTTGATTTTTCTATGTGAATTTAATTTGATTGTCTTAAAGATGGTAATATATGGACCCTTATTTCCCTCATTAGTAAAATTTTATTTTTCTTGAAAAAATTATGATGGATCTTAAAAGGTTAGGTTAAAATCTTGATGTTTATTGCATAAGATGCTGATTTTTTTCGCAGTATTCCATATTTTCTAGTTTCATAGCATGTCAATTTCCAGTTCTTGGTTATCGACTGAGCGATATGGATTAATATTTAAGGTTAGATATTACCTTTATTTTTTTTTTCAAATAAATTGAAATGATTGAAGTATTTTTTATTTGGAATATAATTAGGTCTAATTCCTATTACTTTAATTAGCTGTAATTGCTTGTTTACAATACAGTTAGATCTTTGATTAATTAATGTAAGATTTGAATTTACAAAATTGGGTTTTGGAGATTTGTATTCTACGAACTAAACTATGAGCTCTTTTTATTATAAAAAAGGAAATTGTAAGTAAAAAGATTGTTTTTTTTACTTCACTACATCTTGAATGCCTATACTAATTCGTGTGTGTGTGTATACCTTGTTATTGTATTGCGCATACACAAAGTTTATAAGGATGACAAGATTTTAATCGTAACATTCTGTACCCAAAAAAAACGCATGATCAAGCTGCTCTACATCATTTTCAAATCCTTGTCTTGTTTTGCACGTACGTACTTCATTTATTGTTTGGGAACTATCTCCTTTTATTTTTTATGATTGCTTGAGGGATGTGCGGCTATGACTGAAGGATGTGGTGCAACACACGCTAGGAGCTTTGCAGCAGAGTTGGTTTGTTGTTGGAGCCCTGGGGAAATGCAATCTGTTGTATTCTGGCTAGAATTCAGGGTTAGTGAACAGGTTTTGTGGGTTATGGGTGCTGGGTATCCTGTGGTGGTAATTAATTTTTCAGGTTTTGTGACAGTATTGATTTTAATAATTTTTTTTAATTTGTTGTTTTTTTGAGTTGTTCTAGTATTACAGTCCAGGTTGTGAGTGATGCAGATAATTTTTTTAATAATTTTATTTTATTTTATTTTTTAACATTGAATTAGTTGGAAGTTGTATTTTATAATTGTTTTTTTATATTTTTTATGAAAGTTGTATTTTATAATTGTTTTTTTATATTTTTTATCAGATTATCACGATCTTATGATTTAGATCACAATTTTTATGAGTTAATCATATTGAATTAGTTTTTTTTGTTATTTTTTAATTAAATATTTTTTTCTAATTTCATTCTTCAATGTTAAGTTGACTGAGAATTAAACTTTATAATTTTTTTATTTTTTTTTATAGATGTATCCTGGTCTCCTAATTTAAGTTTAGTAGATTAACCTGAGATAATTTAGGTTTTTTTTTTCAATTTAATCCTTAAACATTTGTTTAAATGGGAATTGAACTTTATTTTTTTAATTTATTTTCTATATGGTTTTTATAGTCTTATAACCCGAGAGTTAGGCCAATTGACTTGGGTTTCTTTTTTTAGTTGAATATATTTTAATTTTATCCTTTAATATTAAGCTGATTGAAAATTAAGTTTTATAATTTATTGTGGTTTGCACTCTATGAGGTTATCCTTTATCCCATGACTTGAGTTATAGGTTTGATCAGTTGACATGAGTGATTTTTTGTGTTTTTTAATTAATTTTGTAATTTTATTATTCAACACTAAATCAATTGAGAATTAAGATTTATAATTTATTTTAATGTTTTTTAATTAATTCTATAATTTTATTATTCAATACTAGATCAATTGAGAATTAAAATTTATAATTTATTAAAATTTGTTTTCTATGAATTTTTCTTCTCATGACTCAGATTTAACAAGTTAATTTGGGTTGACTTAACTTTTTTTTTTTAGTTGAATTTTTTTTAATTTCATCATTTAGTATTAAGTTGATTATAAACTGAATATAATAGAAAACAATATTTTTTATAAGATTATAAATCTCATGACCTAAATAATAGATTTAATAAATTAACTCAAGTTGATTTAGATAAATTTAATATATTATTATTTTAATATTTTAAAAAAATATTATCTTGATTCTTTTAATTAAACTATATCTATATTGTATGTCTAAGTTATTTTTTTAATCTATCAAGTCAATAACATCAAATCAAATTATTAAATCATCAATCTATGTATAGTGAAAAAATAAATCCCATACACCTAAATATTTTTCTTACATCTAAAAAAAACTTGATGCAATCCGTAGCTTAAGGCGGGCAATAATCTATTGCAAACCTAAATGAGAAACCCAACTAATGTAGAAGAACCTCTACAAGATTAACAAATCAAGTAGAGGCAGATAATTGATACATAAGAAGTTAAAATAAAAAATTGGAAACCCTCAAACGGGGTAATTAAAGTAAGTACTTGTTTGTTTTTATAATAAAACCATGAAAATTACAAGGATATAATGAGGACATTAAAACAATTAAAAAACATATTTTAAAACAAAAACAATTCATTTTTTTCACAAACATTTAAAAATAAAAACAAAAAACATGCTCTAATCAATATACAATGCCGGAGGCCTTGGGGGCTTCGGCTTTTAGGCTCTTCATTGGATTGGTGGCCCGGCCGGCTGGGCTAATTTTTTCACTGAAAAAAATAAAAAATACTAGGACGAGCGCAAGTGTTTTTAAGAAAAAAAATCTCGGAGGCACTCGTATATTTGAAAACAAATTATTTTGGTTTTGAAACTTGTTGTGGATGGATCAGCCACGGGAATGTGAAAAAGTTGTAAAAGGTTTTCTTACCTGTGTTCTTATCATTTTCTTTGTTGTTTTCTGAGTACTGTTCATGCGCTGCCCTGGCTATAATCCGTGCGTATGTGACTGTCAGTATCAGCATTGCAGGTGGATTGGTGCAGGAGCTTTTGGTAAGGTGTACCGGGCTATCGATACCGAAATCAACTGCGTTGTAGCTTTGAAGCTTACAGGGCTTGAAGGTGATGGTAATGATGGAAGTGTACCGGCTGTGTCACTCAGAGAGATGTCCGTCCTGAAGGAGATGGACCATGAAAACATTATTAAGTATAAATTTGAATTATTATTATTATTATTATTATTATTATTATTATTATTATTATTATTATTATTATTATTATTATTATTACTACTTTCTTTCCTTCATGATATTATTGTTGTTGTTTAAAAATCCGCGTTCAATTTTCATTTTGTCCTTGAGCTTTGAATTGATGCTATTCTTGGTTGATTTTTTGGGAGGGACAGGTTGTTGGATGTGGTGCACCAAGATGGCAAGAGATTGACTCTAGTTTTTGAATTTATGGATGGAGATTTGCTCGAATTTATGAAAGCACGTTCAGATCGTTTCAGTGATTCAAATCTAATCAAAGTAAGTTAAGTCCGTCCCCTACAGTACCCACAGTTTCACATGGAAAAAGATTTGGTGTCACTATATGGTTCTGTAGTTTGTCCACTGTCTATCTTTGTATCTTGATGCGTGGGCAAGTCAGGAATTTGTTGTTCCTGGATTTTGAATTATCGAATAGAATTTGCAAAGCTCTATCATTTACCTCTTTTTCGGTTTTGTTTTTCAGCTGCTATCTGTGGCTTAGCATTCTCTGTTGAAGAATGAGGTTGGTGGAGATTCTTTTGCCAAATATGTAATACTTGTGTGTTTGTTTGCTTCATTTTCAGAGACTCCTTGGTCAATTTCTCTCTGCTGTTGACCATTGTCATTCTCGAAGGGTTTCCATCGAGATTTGAAACCAGCAAATTTGCTAGTAAATCAGAAAAATTACACATTGAAAGTAGCTAATTTCGGATTGGCTAAAGCATTCAGCATTCCACAAAAAAAATACACGCCTCAGGTATTTTTAACAATTATGGTATATATTTTTTTGGAAAAGATTAGGGCATATATTTGCACAACATTAAATACCATGATTCTGATTTATTGAATCTGGAATAGTTACACATGTCCTAGCATGAGCATCCAAAATTCAATTAAAGAATTGTGCTCCGTTGAAAAACTCCTGTGATTTTTTCTTAGGTTTCCCTCCTGCTTCAAGGAAAAACCATGAAGTTGGAAATATTAGGAGCATTCTCAGTATTGCTAATACATGAAGACATCACAAACCCACAATTCTAATGACTGGGAAACCTCATTTTCTTTGTATTTGCATATCTGGGCTAACTGTCATTCTTGTCCTCTACAGTGCACAACGCTTGCGTACGAAAAGTATTGCTGGGATCAACAGAACATTATGTTGCCGCTGATATGTGATCGGTAGGATGCATATTTGCTGAGATGGTGAATCAGGAGTGATTGTTTGATACCGTGAATTTGAAGAGGGATCCTGATAGAGATTTTAAGAAGGAGCAAATGAGCTTAATTTTCAGGTTTGTATAGCCTTGCTGCGCTGAGTCGCTCTTCTCTTTTCTAAAATTAAGCATATTTCATCTGCGAGCCATGTTTATTTCTATTTTCATTTAATCCCATTTTGAATCTATTGCCAGACAATGAAATCACTATTAATTTGTGGGCGGAAATTAAAGTGTTGTAAATGGCAATGAGGGTGTCTTCTTTTTCTGCATCTTGGCAACATGAGACTTAAAATGACAGCTGAAGCTTGGCTTAAACTAAATTTACTAAGATGTCTTCATGCTTGGATAGTTTCTACAAGGAAAACTTTCCATGTGATACTTGTTAATGCGAATATGAAAAATTGTTTCTTATTTTAACCTAAACCTGCAAAATGAGTAGAGCAAAAGTTAAATGTAAACTTGTCTCCCAGCTGTTTTACTTGCATGCTATTTTACATTAACTTGTTATTGTTTGTATCAAGTATACTGGGTACTCCAGAGCAGGACTCGTTTATTGGAATCACTTTTCCTGATTGTCTATCTAAGTTCCCAGAGCATCAGTCTCCGGTAATTAATTGGCTTCCTTACTGAAATAGCGTTCATTATCACCAACTCCAAATCTTAACATTCTCAAAGAGAGTCTGTAATTAAGAATTTTATTTCTTCTCTTTTGTTACAGGAACTGAGAGTTGTTGTTCCAACACTTGGATCAACTGGAATCGACCTTCTTTCGGTAAGTATGATTCTCATTTGCTTAGCTCCCCACCCACACCTGGAAGATATTTACGGTTCAAGCCCTAATGGCCTAGATTGGCTTCTTTGTTCTCTTTTGACCAAATAGTACTGATATTATATCATGAACATCTTCAATTTATTTTTTATTTTTTATTTTTTATTTTTTACAAAAAATAATTGCAAACAGAGGAACGGGGACGTCGTCATTTTTTTTAGTATTTGTTATTTGTATTCTATCATGCTGCAGAAAATGCAATGCTTCGATCCTGAAAGAAGAATAACCGCTGCTGCTGCGCTTCGTCATGAGTACTTCCGGGATATTGCAGGACAGTAAGAATTGCAAATTGAATTAACTGGACTGGTAATTCCTCACTCTTATCTTTTCTAGTTTGAATGTTGGAAAACTTGTTCTTCGTGCATATGTTGTGTGTACAGTTCGTAGGTGAATGAGGGGATGGATTTTGATCTCAAAGTTCAGTAGTCAATTGTGTTTCATGTTCAAGGATCATGGTATGAAATATAAAAATACAAGTCAGCTTGTTCCCGGCTACTGCGATCTCATTTTGATACTTTGATTGCCGGAAAAGGAACATATTGTGCCTGCAAGTTTTGCTGGAAAACTTGATTATTTTTTTTATTAATATAAATGTTTGGATAAACTCTTACACATTCTAAGATTTATAATTATATAAATTTTTAATAATTTTAAAAATACTTAGATTCATAAAGAGCCCATTTAAAATTTAACTAGTTAAGTTATCTATTAAATTGAAAAATATTCAAACTTACTATTATTAAAATAAAATGTTCTTTTACGGGTTCTAATTTCTAACAACAAACTAGTTAAGGAGTGGATTTGATGTGCTACATATTCTATCTTTTTATTTATTTATTTATATATCTTGTTTTTTTATTTATTTATTTAATTAATATGGTTATGTTAAAATAACTTTATATAATTTAATTTAAAACTCAAATTAAATAAAAAAATTAATTGAAAATTTTTAAGTTTGAATTGTTGTACGAGATTAACAATAAACAGGTTAAATATTATTATTTTTTACATTTCAAAAGATATAAAATCACTTAAACTATTTATATAAATAATTAATCAGATTAAGATATATTATTTTAATTGTTTCATTAATTAAAATTGTATTGTAGCTGAATTATGAAGATAAGGTTGCGGGTTTGAGACATGAAAACACAATATTTGTTTTCACGGGAGAGGAAAAAAAACTAGCTTGGGCCCTTAGGTCTACGTGAGATCTACGTGTTTGGTTTCTTATGTCAGGTTTCTTGGGGTTTTTCTATTGGGTTTTTTTATTTTATTTTATATGTATTGTTTTTTTAAATTCCCTCATTTGTGCTAATAATATGCATTAATAATGAAAGTTGATCTGGTCATATCTCAACTTGTGATATAATTAACTTAATTAAAATTTTATTTTTATTTTTATTTTTTAAAATCATATTTTTAAAGAAAAAAGTATTATTTTAAATTTATTCAGTTAATTCACCTAATTATTTTAAATATATTCGGTTTAATAACTTTACCCATGGATAGCAAAAACATCAATTGTATGGTTGTAGAACACCATTAATTGACGAACAAGACAGAACAAGACATGGAGGAGGCTGAACAGTCTACCATTAATTGACGAACAAGACATGGAGGAGGCTGAACAGTCTTGTCCTTTCCACACCTAATTAAGATTTATCCTTTATAATAAAATACTCAACATAACTTAACCAATTAATTTACAAATGATACAGGTAACTTTAATTATTACTGCAAAGTTCCCTTCCCTGCCTCCCTAATTCTTTTCATTTTATTCTAGTTATAATAAGAATTCATTTCCTAAAATCTGTTGGGCATAGGAATATTTATAGCAATGAACAAACAAATAAATAATGATTTTATTAATCAGGGAAATAGCTTTACCACCCTCGTTTTATTTATGTTCAACCAAATTAATCTCCATAGATTTCCATTTTTCTTCGTTTAATAACAAATAAAAATAAAATATTTAAAGATGTCTCAAAACATGGTTCTTTGTACACGCAGAACCAAATCATCTTGCCTCAGATAAAATAGTTGATTATAATTATAATTAACAAGATTTTTCGTAACAATTAACTTACTGCCCTTAGATTGATTTTTTATATCAAAATTATTTTATTGAGATGTTTTAAATAATTGAACAAAAATTAGATAGCATTGGGATTTTGACGTCTGAAGATTCAAATCTCAAATGAAATATTGAAAATATAATTCTCCTTAACTGTGATTGTGATGGAGATAATTGGTTTTTAATTCAATTAATCTAATAATTATATTTAAAAATCGGTCCAAAAATGTCATCACGCGAGCATAAAATTAAAAGGTTGATCATCATGGTTAATGTATAGATCATTTTAGGAGTGATAAAATTATATGACATCCATAAAAATTTAGTCAAAACTGAAATTTGAAATCTAATAAGAAATAAATTATAAAAACCCTCCACAGTCTTTAATCCTCCAATCATCTTTATGGTAAAATGAAAAATTATTAATGCTGTGTGCTGACGAGGCAAAAATGCTACTGAAGAAGGGGCAAAGGGTGAGCTTATCTCTTTTTCTTTTTTCTTTTTTCTTTTTTCTTTCTTTTTTTGCTTTTGATAACCAATCAAATCTTTAACTTGCAAAGAATTTAGGCAGCACGTCGTTTTCCGAGCAAAAGTGTCGGTGAGAGAGTATGTACACAGTATACTACAGTGTTGTGTGGTACTCTCTCTAGATACGCACACCTGTATAGCGAGAGGGAGACATATGCTGTAACTGCTCTGTCTCTTCCAGCTTAGCTTTCCATTTCAGCTTCGTCTCCACCTACTTGTTTACACCACCTGCACCGAATATGCTTTAACACAACAAAACACACAAACCCCATATAATTAGGGCCTTAAAGAAAAGAACTTGTTCACTTGTTGTCAGCTAAAACCTCTCTCTTTATTCACATTAACTGTACTTAGAGAGCAAGAATGGGTGTGGATTTGAGACAAGTGGTTGCTGGGGTGCTGACACTAACTATGTTTGTGATGCTTGGTAACATGATCAAGAGGGACCATTTTGATTCTGTTGAAGTATGTCCCTTTCAGCCCTTCTTCATAAGTTTCTATAATACTTGATTTTATGTGTGCAGGTGATCTTTTGGTCATTCAAGTTTCGAATTTTTTCTTATTTGAAGCTGTGTTTCTTGATGGGGTTTTAGTATGGATTTAGATCTTTAAACCCTTTTGAAAGCTCACTGTGATAATTCCCACTTTGCATCTGACAAGTAGTATTCTTGTAGTTAAGTGCAGTAAGATCTACATGTTCTTGGCCCGAATGTCTTGGCTTTATGGTGCTTATACCTTAATTTTTCTTTCATTGTCACATTCTCATGAGTCTCTGGTTGTTTGTTTCAGTCAATTTTGTTCTTTTGTCAAGTTTGTGTTAGATCTTTAAGGTGTTGTCACTGTTGTATTAATTTTTTTAATTAGTGACTTTTATCTTACATTTTTGGATTAAAATTTGAGCTGAGGTGCTGCGTTTATTTCTCCTCTGAGCTACTGATGATATAGAAAAAGCGAAGAAACCGAATTACTTTTATGATTCTTTCCTGGATCATAGTGAGATTTATAATTACAGGGTTTGATAATTTTCAGTTCTTACTTGAGCCATTTATCATCTGGAGCATGCTTCCTTGCGAGTTTAATATTTTGGAATCCAAGGAAGCTTTTGATAAATTTCATTCTATGAAGAAACATGTCATCCAACCATCATTTTCTGTGGATCTATATGATTCTCCTTTTCATTATTTTGTATTTTGTTTTGTGAAAGGGGAAATTTCCAGGAGTTAGGGACGTCGAGTTTGATAGCGAGAAGGTTTCAGATCAGGGTCTTGAGACATTTTCCAAAAAGAGTACAAATGGGCCATGGATTGAGAGCGGCCAAGAGCTAAAACCATGTTGGAAAGAGTCAACTTCTGGTAGGTTTACTTGTGAACTTGATAATTACCTAGAGTTTTGTGTGGTATTTATTCCTATATATGCACTCACTGATATACGAAGAAATCTTTTTGTGTGGTATTTATTCTTATATATGCACTCACTGATGCACTAAGCATTCTTGTATAATGTTTTCCTTCCACTTCTCATGAATTCTCACCGATTTAACAGATGAGGTAGAGCCAAAAGGGTTTGTCACTTTCTCATTAACTAATGGTCCTGAGTACCACGTCTCTCAGGTATTTGAAGTAGCCATTTAAACTTTCTTTTCATTTACAGAAGGATTCTGCCTTCATTGTTTTCAAATCCATTCTTGCTCCTCTCCTCCAAACATTTACACCTCTTTTGCCGGTGATTGCATTTTTCCAGATTGCTGATGCAGTGGTGGTAGCAAGATATATTGGAGCAACTCTCGTACTTCCTGACATTAGGGGAAGCAAACCAGGAGATGAAAGGTTAGCAGCATGTCACTTTCATGACAATCACTCTGTTGGGTTTTTTATTATTATTATTGGAACATATATAGTTGCTGCCCCTTTTTATGTCATTACATTTATTTGAGATGATTTGGATGGTAAATTCCTTAAGAAGAGTCTAGCTTTTCTATTTTGTCTTGCTCTATTTTATTTTTATGTGGAGAAGGGGGGTGGGGTGTTGTGGGTGAAGTTGATATTTTCTTTGCAAATAAGTTTTTTCCTGTTATTAATTCAACCATAATTGTAAACCTTTTTTATTCTTTTGAACCGCACCATAACCATTTGACTTTGTGCCTCTTTTTTCTGTATCATTATGTTGTTTCTGCAGTTTGCAATCTCGAATGGTTTGTTTTTCCACTTTCAATGAATTAAGTCTTGAGAAAAAATGTGTAAAGCAAGATTCTTTGCTATCGCTGCTGGAACAATAATGGAAATGGCAACTTCACCCATCTCTTTTTGGGGAAATGTTTTATGAACTTACAAATTTAAACCTCGCCTATTACTTGCATTTTGACACTTAAATGCAAACAGTTTCATGTTTGCTTAATTGTATTTATGTTTAAAGCTTTATGGCTTATTATAAGTCCTTGTTAGGCATGCACATTTTGGCTTTGCTGCAATGCCCAACTGAATCAGCTAGTTTTTTTTTTTTTAATCCAAAAAATATTACTGTCTAGGCACCATAAATTTATACTCTTGAGAAATTTTCAATATATGATCAGGGAGTGAATTAACTTCACCGGGAGCTTTTGGGTGCATTCTAACAAATTGACAATTTACAGGAAATTTGAAGAAATATATGATGTTGATAAATTTGTGAAAAGCCTGGATGGGGTGGTTAAAGTAGTTAAAGGTCTGCCTGATGATGTATCGATTCGAGATTTCGCTGTTGTCAAGGTCCCTAATCGAATTTCAGATGATCACATTGCTGAGCAAATCAAGCCAGTCTTTAAAACAAATAGCAACATAAGACTGGCTACTTTCTTCCCTTCAGTAAATATGAGAAAGACCACAAAAACAAGTGCCAGTGATTCAGTTGCATGTTTGGCGATGTTTGGAACTTTACAGTTGCAGCCAGAGGTTAATGAAGTGGTTGACTCCATGATTGAGAGGCTAAGAACTTTGAGTCGCAAGTCTAATGGACAATTTATTGCCGTGGACTTGAGAGTTGAGATATTGGAAAAAAAAGGTTGTCATGGAAGCAGTTCAGCTGGAACAAAAAGTTGTTTTAGTGCCCAGGAGATTGCTATATTTTTGAGGAAAATGGGATTTGACAAGGATACCACAATCTACCTCACTCAGCCTAGATGGGACGAAAGCCTTGATGTTCTGAAGGATAGATTCCCGAAAACTTATACTAAGGTTAGGCATTTTCCGTTGGTTTCTCCTTTTTATTGTTTTCCCGTCAGTTAGTCTAAATCATTCTTTACCCCTGAAAACTTTTGTAGGAAAGCATAATGCCTGCTGATAAAAAGGCAAAATTCCTCGAATCAGAAGACTCAGAGTTCGAGAAGGTTATTGACTTCTACATGTGTTCTCAGAGTGATGTCTTTGTACCAGCCATCTCTGGCCTATTTTATGCCAATGTTGCTGGTAAGAGAATAGCATCCGGCAAGACTCAAATACTTGTTCCGTCTGACATTCCGGGCTCCTCTGCCTCTGTCACCAGCCATTTCTCCCCCTATATTTCCAAGAAGAACCACGTGGCACATTCCTGTTATTGCAAGTAATCCATGCCAAGAAACCCGGAAGAGAGCACACTACAGCTTCTGTTGAAGTCTTCAGTAATAGTTGTCACTTTCTCCATTGCCGCAAACTAGCTTTTCCAGTAAGCAGATGAACAAGTGAGCTGCACCATTCACACTTCAATTTGGGAGTGAAAGCACCCCAAAGTAGAAGTTTACTGTTTCAATATGATTTTTTAAAGATTTGTTCTAATATAAAATAGGACAGGTAGTTTTGTGAGTTATAATGTTCAAGAATTTGTTTGATGTTTTGTTTATTTATTGTAAAATAAGTCCCCATTATGTGTTTTTTGTCTTCTTGAAACCAATATTAAAAATATTTATTAAATTCTCCTGAATACACTGCAGCTATCTGATAATGAAGATTTTAGGATCATATCAAAATTCTTTTGTAGAAGAATTTTTCCTATTGAACTAGGGGCTTTATAGGGGCAAAGCAGCCCATATGCGGGGAAGCTAATCTGCTAATTGGTCTGCGGGGAACCAAAATAATGACTGACCTAATCAAGGGTTGGTACCAAAATTAATATATATTAGTATGGGCTGAACTTAGGGATGACAATGGAAACCTAATGGGCTTTCAAAATCTTTAACTTGAATGTTATAATTGAAAACTATTTAATATATAATTAGCTTAAATATGTAATTTTGAAAACTTCGAGGTTATTTATTTATTTATGTTAGGTCAAATTCAGGTTAAGCAAAACAATTTTACCTGAACTTGATCGAGTCTATAAAATTCTTATCCATTTAAATTAGTTCAAGTCATCGGTTCAAGGAAAATTTGTTTTAGGCAGCACCAAAATCGAACAGCTGAACCAATAAAAGAAGCTATCAAATGAAAGAAAAGGAGAGTCATTTGAGGAAAACCGCTCATAATTAACAGAAGCCATTGAGCTCTTTCCGAGCTTAGAACTTCAAGCCATCAACGAAACCCGCTATCCATAGACACGGCAAAAATAAATTAAAAAACCTTTGCAAGAATCCTTATAACATATTTAGAGCCTTTTATTCTAAAACAAAACATTCTTCAGATCCTAAAGAAACCGACAATGGACAATTCAACAAGACGTGCTGCTTGCACATCTCTGAGAAGATGCCGTCAAGATCGTGTCTTGGCTCCATATTCTCCTCCAACCAATCCCCGAGGATTTTGCTAATATCTTTGGTGCCAGCAAGATTGTTGGGTTGTTAAAGGTATTTATATATAAATCTCCACTCATTCACTATCTATCCAACCATACCAACACAAATCATTTCATTAATCAGTCCAATAAAGGAAACATTGGACGAACTCAAAGCCTATTTTAGTGGAAGTTAATTTACCCTCCCGAGTACGCACATGTTCATCATTTCCTTTTAGCTCAAATGCATTATTTATTCTAAAATATCCATCTCAAATCATATCAAGTGTTGATGGAATACAACCATCTAAGTGATGGTCAAGTAGTAAGGATTTGGAATCAAGGGATTTGCTCCCTCTGTAGTCTCAAGTTCGAGTCCTTGATTGCTCATATGATAGTCACTGGAGGCTTACATGATCGTTAACTTCAGGATCCGTGGGATTAGTCGTGGTACGCGTAAGCTGGCCCGGACACCCACGTTAATCTAAAAAAAAAAAAGAAAAAAGAAAAAGTGTTGATGGAATAGACTAACGGATATCAACCATCAAATAGTAGGATTTTATTTAAAACAAACAACGCTCATTTGCAGTGAATACTTTGAGATTAGTAACATTCCTCGTACAATTGATAAATAATGTGTTTGGATTCGGATGGAATGCAGCAACTTGCAGTGATTTTAAGTTATGATGCAGCAGACAGCATGTCAATTGAGGCAACATCACGTGCAAGGCACGCTGTTTATGGCTGTTTTTGAATAATATCTCAATTGCAACAACAAATGATTGATGCTAAATCTGAGATGGTAAATATAATGGGTGAATTAGCAGTTTACAACTCTCAGCAACATCAGCTACAACAAGAAATTAGAGAAAATGAGAGGTAAAAGATCAAGTCAACAGGACACTTTGAATTTAGATCAACTGCTAAATCAAGCAGATGATCAGGAAAAATCCAAATTCCATCGACTTTCATGAAGCAGACGATTTATAAACTAGTTTCTGGTTCGTTTCCAAGTTTTTTGTTTGCTCATGCTGGCGGGGCCAGAAAAGAATGACGGCTGTAGATTATAGAACTAAATTGCTTGTCATACAAGTAATTTACTCTGCTCATAATTGTTTTGTTTCAATCTACCCCAGCGGATTATTATTTTTAATTATTATGATAAGTGCATAATTTCACCAAAATTTCTTTCCAAATTCCCTCTTTTTTAAAAAATAAACAAATTCAAAAAATTTCTCAACCATACGAAGGTCAAAAACCAAATGCTCAGTCAGTCCCCACCCTTTTTGCAATTCATTCAAATGTATGGGATTTGATCTTCGGTAAAACTAGCATATCATATCATATGGGAAAAGAAAAAAAAAATCAAATCGACCCAAGTTATAATCCTCCAAGGAATAAAAACTGGCTGTGGAAACACTAGCGCCTGTTCAGTGACACCAAAAATTCAAAAATAACAAAGACAGACTATAGAAGTATCAATATAGGAATCCATCATAAATATTCAACGAGTGCGTTCATGATGATTAATCATCTTTCTTTCGAAAGACACCATTATTCTAAGTGCTTAACACACCTGGTGATCATAGTGTTCCATCAGCGCTTAACTTTAGCCAAAAAATCCTTTTCAAAGTCACTAAGTGAGTCCTGGCTTGGAAAGCACATGCAGAAACACATACATTCAACTGCAAGAAAGAGGAACAAATCCTCCTCAATGCAGAAACATATAGACATTGAACCACAAGAACGAGGAACAAATCCTCCTCTATGTACCATCATCATGTTCAGAAAACCCACTTTACTCAGGTCTTCACCCCCCTTCCAGACGTAAAAGAAGTTTCAATAGAAAAGGCAAATCTAGTTCTTTATATCTTATTTTACAATTCATGTAACCAGCGGATATAACACTAGATGTTTCCAGTTGTTTTATACAGTTAATGAAATATCATCTTACTACTACATTGGGGGTTAGTTTAGGCTTTACCATATCACCTAAATGCAGTTACGCACTTTGAGCATATCAGTGTGTTACCTTTCATGAACTGGAAGCCGTGTCAGGATATCAGTTTAATGAAAGCCCCCACCGGGGCATTAATGCATTCCTAGCAGTTCTGCATCGTCGAAATGGCTTTCTGAAGTACACAGATAGTGGAGTCTTTGGAACTGGAATGAGTTTTCCAACTGCGGCAAGAGGCCAGCTGTAAAAAGAAAACAGTAGTCAGGATGAGAAGTGATGATTTCACACAATGATACAGTATATACCTCAAAAAGAAAAACCTCGCAAAGCCTTCAAAACATTTAATCACTAGCCAAGTAATTTGCATGCACAGGAATAATAGTAGTAACAAAAAGAAAAACACCCAATCACCTAACTCAGACCATCTAATTAAATGGAAAATGTTCCACAAAGCATCAAACCAAAACTGTAAGTAAAACAAGGCAGACTCAAGGTAGAACCAGGCATAACTTAGTTGATATATCTCATCCTATAAAAACTGGTAATTTAACTAACCTGACAATGCCAATGGCAACACATATAAGCCATTGTTTCCAATTAAGTCTCACAGTTGTGGTAAAGTCTCCAGTGAATTCAATGAGGATTATCTGTAAAGCATTTAGCAGTGGCACTGTCAGTTCCCAGTATACTGCTAATGAAAGGCCAAAAGAAAAGTAATCGCAGCTCACCTGAAGGATAACGGTAAATCCAACTATTCCCATAAATAAGTGGTTTTTTGTTACTCCTTTGAAGACATTTATTTCATCTGGCTTTCGAGCATTAAACTCATTGAAAACCTGCAAGTTAAAACAGTCAGCAAATGCAAGCTCTGCATCTTGAAAAGACAAAAATAACTTCTTCCCATGCGACATAGTAGGGAATGATAATGGCACTGGTTTCATTTCTATCTCAACAGACTAAATGAGACTCATGAATAAAACAAATAATACTTTTAGTCAAGTGGCAAACTTACTTGACAGAGAACAAATGCATTGAATATCATAGTATTCTTCGCAATTGTAGCATGTTTCCTGTCATCTTGATTCAAGTGAAGAATACTCAAGCCCCGGAAGTTGAGTACAAGGAGAACAGCAACTTGGTATAGAGCCTGAAATGGCATGAAAAGAATAGGTCATGAATATGCCGTGAAGCTACAATCGTACTCAGCCCATAGTAATCTCAGTATCTCCGGGATAACTTATTAGCATTTCAGAGAAGAAATACCTGTATGAGCAAGTTCCTCCACATGATGTTTGTTATAAGAGGTTCCCTAAAAAAACAAGCAGAAGATCACTATTCAGATCATCATCCATCAATTCAGAGAGTTGCAAATACATTGAAAACCATCATGCAACATCTAAAATCACGATATGCAAGAGAATCCCATTACCATACTTCTTGGACAAGCACAAGTCAGACAAGTAATGACAAAGAACAAAGGATGAAGCCTGAAATATCTGTGCTTCAGTATCACCCTGTGTATTCTAACTTACCACGAATTGTTTTAAATTTTAATGTAGTTAAATTTAACAATTACTCTACTTCTACTAACTAGGCCATACTGCCTGCAAATTAAAACAGAAATAATTTAATATCCTGAATCCAGAACCTAGGAAGACCTGGCATATCCTGAGCTCTTTTCAACCAAGAAATGAATTTCAGATGAGTGAAGTAGGCAACACTGTTTACAGAGCGTGGAATGGATTGCTCAGCAAGTTCTCAATAATAAGAAAAATAATAAAATTGAATATCTATGAAGAATGCAGCCCTTGTCATCAGAATTGAATAATAATAAGAAAAAAATAATAAAATTGATCCACGTTGGAAGGACTACAAAGGTGACAACGTCACAACCAATATTCAAAACAATAACAAAGCAAAATTCTACATTTTTTTCTGGTATCAGAAGGCATAAAGTAAAATTTTGTAGGATCTCAGATTCTCAAACATTTGGAAGTTCCTCAATGTCAAGCAAACCATAAAGAGACTGAATTTAAATAGACTCCCACCATTTTCCTAAGCTGATGATCAAAATAAAAGCAACCTCAATTCCCTTTCTTTAAAATAGGACATGGTCAAACAAAAATCTATCCCCAAAACTCACCATCAATGGAAGGCCTAGGATCAACATAAAGAAACATTAAGCATCAAATTGCCACAGTATACATACCAGACAATTTAAGAGCCACATTAACTGCAGCTTGCATTTGTAGATTTATATGTCTACCGTAACATATTTGGCTAAGACATGGTACAAAGTACAAACCTTCGACCCACTGGTGTCCTATGCATAAGGTGGTCTGTTGGTGGTTCCGTCGCCAATGCAAGTGCCCCAAGTGTGTCCATGATAAGATTGACCCATAGAAGCTTTACAGCAAAAGCGAACAAGAATTAATATGTTTGATCATCATGAGACTGAATTTAGTTCAGCATCAAGAAAAATTTCCAAATTCAGGCATAACATCAATCCATTGAAATATTGTTTTTTCTTGGGCTAAATTTAAAATATGGAAGACACCCAGCATATCGTGTCTTCTGAATCGAACTTAAATGAGAAGTTGCAATCTAAACAATTCTGAAACATCCAGAGCATCCCTCCCACACCCAACCAAGAAAACTCTATATTTACTTACCATACCCAATGCAAGTACAAACAATCCCTCACTATATTCCTTGAAATTAAGGCTATAGTCATTCAACACATTGTACAAAAACAGATTTTTAAATAACAGGCAGTTCCTCTCTTTAAGATAGGGCCCAGATTAGATAAAATTGATCGGAAACAAGTTCAAGATAAAATCAAGTTCTTTTCCCTCAGGTGTAATAAAATCAAGTTCTTTTCCCTCAACTGTACTTAAATCTGCCATAAGTCCACTACTCTACAGATAAGCATGCATATAACCAGAGGTTTGGTCTGTCTTCTACATTGATAACATAATAAAACCAGTATACAGGCAAATTTGGAGGGCAATTCATGAGATTTTTAAAATTACTTGATCAGACCTGCAGTCACCAATATGCCATTGTGCTCTCTAACAAGCAAATTGATGCATATGCTAAGATTAACATGATCAACTGAAAGAAAATACATATGAGAGAGAGAGAGAGACCTGCACTGTATTTAGGGGAACATCACCAGAAGAGACTGCTGCAACAACGTTGATTACTAAAGCTCCAACATTAACAGTGAGCTGGAATTGGATAAATTTCTGAATGTTGGCATACACAGAACGCCCCCATCGGACAACCTACATGTGAAAGAAAAAAAAAGTTTGTGTAATGAATATTAAGACCATACTCTACTTGAATGTTAATTCAGGAAGGTATGAAACATATCTGAAGAAATAGGAGCCACAAGAACCTTTATCATCTATCACACACAAACTACTATTGCAAAAGGAAGACGACATGTTTATGAAGAAAACCAAAACAATAAACAATATTAATGGCATAAAAGCTATTTACTGGAAATATATTAATGTAATGGACATGAGAGTACAAGCACAACTTCCCAGCAAAAGGAGGCCTAAAGGTATAATGCTCTGCAAACATGCAACATACTCCATGGTAGCAAGAAACCAAAAGGAATACAAGTTGCAAAGATGCAACTTCCAACCAATAAGTACATATATTGAAGTGCGAGATTCATTCTTAAAGGAATGCTAAACAGAGAGTGGTGTTTTCTTCCTAAAGAAAGATGAACTCCAGCCCCAAGGAAAATAAGGCCTACATGTCTCAGTGCTTTGCACAGATGCAACATATTACATGATAGTAAGAAACCAAAAGGAATAGAAGTTGCATAACTTTCAACCTGTAATTACGTATATTGAAAAGCAAAGCATTGGAATACATTGGAAAAGAAATGTGAAACAGAAAGGTGGTGTTTTCTTTCTAAAGAAAGAAACACTCGAACTCCACCACACACCCCACCAAAAAAAAAAAAAGCCTTCAAACACGCGTAATTTTCTCATGTAAGTAAGTCAAGTGCTTGCTAACCTTCACAACTGAAGCAAAATTATCATCCAAGATAACAATATCCGAGCTCTCCTTTGCAACTTCAGTCCCTTGAATGCCCATAGAAAGCCCTATATCAGCCTACAATGCAAAATGTTAAAAGTGCAGTCAATTGACATAGAAGCAATTAACAACTTGGAAAGTAGTGCAGATAAAGTTGTTGAGTACAAGACCATGTAGTACAAGAGGCATAGAAAGGAAAAGAATCAGCTTTAATCTGAGAAAGTTTTCATTGCATCCAGACACGTAGTGCATAAAATCTCTAACTGTGCAAGACATTCAAGCTAGTTAGCTTTTTTATTAGATATAATATTGGGAGACTTTTCCCTAGGAACTAGAATGACTACTGGCCCAAAATCTATCTCTAAGCAAAATACACATGTTGCACAGACACAAATTTATACCTGTCTTCAAAATATTCCACAACATGTTGAAGAACGCATATGTCATGGCTACATATAAAATCAATGTTTTAGATATAAATGAACTTAAAGATATAACTAATGATCTGCTATCATATTGTTACAATTCTTATTTATCATACCTTTGTAATAGTCTACAATAGACACAGAAAACATTAACGTACACACATCTAGACATTAGAAAGTTAATGTCTCTGAAACTAGAGGTCCAGTTCCAATGGTCACAATTGTTGCAACTCAAAAACATATTCACGGACACAAGTTACCAAATAGCAAGCAAACAAAATGCCTTGCAATGTCTGTACCATAGTTACAAAATCTACCAGATGCATCCAAACTTTTTGGAAATATCAAACCACATGTAAAAAGGAAACAGGATGACAAACCTCATGAAGTGCAGGAGCATCATTCGTGCCATCCCCAGTCACAGCTACAACTTCCCCTCCCTTACGAAGGGCTTGCACAAGCAAAAGCTTGTCATTAGGAGACGATCTTCCCATCACCTACATATCATTACTACTAAGTCAAACAATTTTTTATACTAAAAACAACAAAACCAGCTATCTCAGCTTCCAAATGTAATTATAAGCTAAACTTCATGAAAATTTCCACTTTGTGCAGTCAAAAATTTTGTGCTGTTTGGAACAAACCGTTATTTTCTTGGCAATTATTTCTCTTTCTTTTTCCGAATATGCCCGGAATACTTTTCCTTCAATGATATTAGGCTCTGTAGCATCAGCACCAGAACTGAGAATCCCACACTCCAAAGCTATTGCTTTTGCTGTCTGAATATTGTCTCCAGTGACCATTCGTACCTATGATTTCACAAACATATTATTCTAATTAGCCTTTTTCCCGAATCGTTTCACCATAATATACCATGGATGAGATAGATTTTGCATACAAATAGATTTCATACAGGTACAAGAAATGCTAAGGTTAGAGCAACAAATGCTCGTCCCAGTAAGGGTTTTTGAAATTCCAAGAGGGGCAAGGTGCTCAGGCAACAGCTAGTCTTGCTTTGTCTCAGTGCACTCCAAAGTAGGAATATGCAATAGTCTTTCAGGATAACCATCTACATTCCAGTTGCTTTGGTATAAAATAGTTATTCTAGCTGCACCATGGTGTTCATCAATGAAGTGTATAGGGGCATCTCATTGCAGATACAAAGAGATAGAAAGCTTTGTACCTCTAGTTTTTTGTTTTTGTAGTGGTTTATAGGAGGATATCTCATCCTCTGTTTCCTTCTCTTCCATTCTTTGTTAATAATGTTATTTTCCTAATTCAGTAAAGGTCACTTTGATTGACCATTAAACATAACAAACTTCAGTCTTCTGAGCATCATCCGTTAATGCAAATGATGGCATGACCATTTTCATAAAGTAAAATTAAAACATGAATACTGTAATTAATAAACAACCTTTACACCAGCTGCTGTGCAAATTCTCACTGCATCATTTACACCTTTGCGACAAGGATCCTGCACAGGAATGCATTAGCTAAATACAAGTAAAGCCTAAACACCTATTAAAGTTGACACTTGTGGACAGGCTAAGGAAAACTTGAGTTAATTTACGTATCAGAAAAAAGAAAACATAAAACTTTTGATAGTTCAATCAAAGCATGAAACCTATATGTTCTACATGCAGTCAAAACCAAAAGAGCTCCCATGCTAGTAGTGCAAAGATGATCGATGAGGCTTCTTATAAATGTGAATGGGTGGAGATAAATGACATCTAGCATCTAAAGCATATCTACACCGATAACCTTATATCATGGTCAACTTATTAATTATGGAGAGAGAGATCCACATAATCCAAAAGAGAAAAGGCGAAGTTGTGAAAATGCACACCTTGATGCCAACAATAGCAAGCAGAACAAGCTCATCTTCAGGCAAAACCCATTTTCCTAAGCTCTCTTCATCAGTAGGAACTTTGTCCAATTCATATGGTCTGTATGCAATAGCAACACATCGCAAGCTGCGGGCAGCCATGTCGTCAATAGCGACCTTAAAAAAATCCTGCAAGGGGATTTACAAGAGGAATCGTCACCCAAAAAATAGCAGTCACATGTTAAGAGATTCTAAATTACTCTCTTACCTTTGCATGGGAACAGTTCAAATGATGGCTTATTTTATCATCTGATGCTGTGTGTTCCATGCAACTAACTCAAAATTTTACCATTTTTAATTTTACAAACCACTGGCCCCTAAAATGCAAACTTCAGATTCAATCAAATTTTTAAAGCAATCACCTTCCAGTATGTGTGTTTCATATAAAACCTATGGAAATCAGCTTTAAAACAATTTCAGCAAAAGAACACTCACCATTTCTTTATCAATGGATTGCAATGAACCATTTGAATCAAGATATCCAGTACAAGAGGCAAGAACCATCTCAGCTGCTCCCTTCCAGTGTATGTGAACTTTAGAATCAGCCTGCCAAAATAAAATGGTGAATGAAAGTTTATCAGAATACGGCAACTTATAACTTAATAGCGCACAGGTTCAGTGTTGAACACAAATAAGAGATCTTGCACTCATAAAGCGTGCAAGAAGATTATGGCATGCTTCAGGCATAGAGCATTGTCAATCCTTAAATCCATGAAGAAATAATGCTTTAGCAACAGGCAAATCAATGGCAACATTTTCCATGCATCAGGTTCCAAACAGGAAAATCAACAGCAATATTTTCCATGCAACAAATGCAAAATGATAAGAGGAGAAAATATTATGAATGGTACCAGATCAACTTGTGATCACCAGAGTCAGGGGCAAAGTTAGATTGAAGAGAATACCATTTGTATTGCAACACCACCTCGCTTCTTCTCAGAATTAAAAGGGAAAACATGCAGAATTTTCGACTCTGCTCTAAGAACATCAAACTTCATCCCCAACTGATAACAAAATTAAGAAAAAAATATATGAAAATGGTAAGTGTGATATGCTGGAAAGTTGACTAATATACTCAATAGAGACAGTGGAATATGGTTAGAGGTTGTGCCTTGACTGCCCAAGAGAGGATAGCCTTTTCAGTTGGAGATCCAGTAATCTCTACGTCTCCACCATCCTGCCACAATAGCAGTCAACAACAAATTTCATTCTTTCAAGGGAAATATGCTCTCAAAGTAATCCACGATGTCTACGATAAAAAAAGGTTATCAAACTAGAAATCAGGAAATAATATATACAATGATTAGATTAAAAGAGAGCACGAGAATAATCAACAAAGCAAAGAACAAAAGCAAAAGAGAGTGCTACCTTGGGAACAAACACATTGCCTGTTGTGTTCTGTGCAATACCCTCACATAACAACGAGCCTGCTTCTGACTGCAATTGTGAGGGGTCATCTGGTGGGTTTATCTTCTGACTCCCAACATAAGCCTCAACCACAGTCATCTGTAAAGTGAAACATCCACAAATAAAACCCACGCACAGAACACAGCATGCCTGCTTCACTAAGTAATCATGCTTGTGCGCCCTACAGTGAAACCCACCTGATTCAAAGTCAATGTTCCAGTCTTATCACTGCAAATTGTTGTTGAAGAGCCCATAGTTTCACATGCTGAAAGCCTACGAACCTGAATATCTATGCTGTTAGACAGATGTTTCACAAACTAGAATTCAAATCAGAGGGAATTATAGAAGAAAATGACTTTGATGAAAATAGAGAAAGATACTTGCCAAGGCTTTATCAGCCATCATTTTCCGCATTGAATATGCCAGACTGCAACGCAATAAAGCACAAAAATATGATGAAAATGGATATGAGATACTGATCACTAGATAGCATGCACTGCAGTAATATTATAGAGATGACTTTTACTTACGTCAAGGTAACAGCCAATGGAAGTCCCTCAGGAACAGCAACAACCACAATCGTAACCTACATGATTATACATTTAGTAAGGAAACTACATAATACATAAATATAAAATGAATCCAGGGACTTCACTTACTGCAATGGTAAGTATTTTTATCACTCCGTCTACTGCTTTACTGACTGTTGTCTCGCCTTTGATAAACTGGACACTTCCATCTGGATTTTTTGTATTTCCAGTAAAATATCTAACAGGTATAATGAGATTGTAGCTGGTAAGTTGGTATACAGGCAATGTAACAGTGACTAATTGAATAATAACATTTAACCTACCGGCCCAAAAGGACAGCAAGCACAGAAAGGGCTACAGCAAGCCCCGCAATGCCTATAAAAGTTGCGAGTCCATTCAAACGTACCTAACACAGTCATTAAAGGATAACCTTAAAGCTGCAGCAAATTACATTTATTGATGCTAGATACAGTTGAAGTAACAAGAATTGAGATGAAACCTGCAAGGGAGTTTCTTCACCAGTATCCTCTGAGATACTTGCCATCAACAAACCCCATTCAGTATTGATTCCAACACCAGTTACCTGAAAGTGGGCCAAGAAGAAATGAGCCTGCAAGGTGGTAAATTCATATAACAAATACCAGATTATTTTGCGAATAAAAGGAAATGCTGCTGTTAATTACAATGGACACCAAAAAAAGGAAAAGGAGAGGTGATTCATAAAAATAACTCAGAATCATCATGATCATGATAATGCTAAAAAGAGAACAGAATGTAAAACTACGCTTTTACCAGCATAGTACCAATACCATCTGCTACTTTACAACCAGACATCAGAAAGGGAGCATTCTGATCCTTGTGAACCTACAATAGAGAACAGACTTGTAATAATAGATTTCAACTATCAAGAAATTACAGAACCAGATGAGTAGCGAACTCACAATTTTGCTTTCACCGGTCATGCTAGATTCATCTATTGCAAGAGAATGGCCAGTAATCAAGATTCCATCAGCTGGAACCTGAGCGAAACACCTCAATATTTGTATAGTTAATGTAAGTGATTGAAAGCGTAGTAAAACTTAATTCATCAGGAATAAACCTCACCTGGTCTCCTATTCTAAGAGGCACAACATCACCAACTACAATATCAAATATTGAGATTTTCATAATTCTACCACCTCTCATGACCTGCAACATTTTCAGATATTTCCATTACTTTAAGCACCAAACGCTAGAAGATAGAAAAATAAGCACTAAAATATTTGCATCCCATTAACGCATACCTCTAATTGTATGTTTTGTTTTTCCTTATTTAAATTTTGAAACTGCAGAGATTGACGGTAATCACTAACAGCTAGGGATAAACATACAAAAACAATAGTTAGAAAAAAGAAAAATCAATGCTTGGATAAAATAGCACATAAAGTTGTATGAGTGGGCCCAGTATAAGCTTTTCCAGAAATGATGAGAGAGTGGTTCAGTACTGAAGAGAAGTACAAGAAAATAATATCAGCATAATTTAAAATTCATTTGGAATGCAGGAGGATGAAAGTAAACAAAACATGAAATCAATCTTTGACATAACCATTTCACAGTCATATAATCATATGGATACTAACTTTCTAAAAATTGTAACATCCAAACTTTCATATAACCATAAAAGCCTTATATTGAAAGAAGAATGAATTGATACCTGTAACAATTATGACAAGCATAACAGCAAAAGAGATGCTCACCCCATCATACCATCCATGTGACAACCCCTATGAGGAACAAGAAGTGTGAACAAGATATCAGTGTAAACAGGAAAAGGTCTGAAAAAGAATAAAAGGAGAGGAAGATCTACCCAAATAATGCACCGTGCAAATACTCATAATAGTTACTGATATAGAACTTCCATCCTTAGCGTAGTCAAGCTAAAACATAGAAATATGGAGTTATTTTGTTTTATTTATTAAGGATAGAATAGTATTTTTATTTTCTTTCAGGTTTAGCCTATATATAATCTCTTTGTATTTAAGTTAATCCTATTTCTTTTAGATTATTGAGATAACATCATGCAACATCAATGAAATCATAGTCTCCTCCTCTTATTTTTATATTTCTCTTCTATTTCTTTGGATTGTTTTAACATGGTATTAAAACATGGTTCAAAACTTAATTCCGGGCACAGCTTTCACATATCCAACTTCAATACGATATTTGTTTAGTTTTTACAATCTAGTATTTTGTTTTCCTTTCGTTTGCGTTCTAGTTTTCTTTGTTTTTTTTTTATTATAACTACTGAAAGAGATGATTCGCTTTAACCTATGAGTGTGATGTTAGATGGAAAGAATTATTCGTATTGGAGTTATGTGATGAGAAATTTTATTAAATGTAAAATGATGTGAGATATATTAGTGAAACTTTTATAATACCTAGGAATATTGATAAGGGTTATGTTGCTTTGATAGATGTCTGAGAAGCAAACAATGCAAAACTTATTACTGGGATTAACAATTATGTTGAGCATTCCTTAGGTACACGATTAGCAAAAAATAAGACAACAAAAAAAGTTTAGAATTATCTACAAAGGTCATTTATACAATCATATTTTGCAAAGCAGTGTCAATTAAAGAATGGCATACGAGCTCTTCAACAAAAAAATATGAGTATTCAGGAATTTTATTTTACCATGACAGATCTTTAAGATCAATTGATCCTTAAAGAACCAACAGAATTAAAAGCATGTGGTACCTGTATTGCTCATACAAAGCAACAAAGATTGGTACATTTTTTAACACTAATTTGCAGTGATTGTGAAGGACATAGAGGTTCAATTTTGCATTGTTTTTCAATGCCTTCTATTGACTTAGTTTTCAGCGCGTTATTAGTTAAAGAAATACGTCTCCACTCTTATTCTGAAAAAGAAATTCTTTCTACTTCTAATCTTTATGTGTTAGCAATACCTTCCAAGTCATTCTCTAATAATCTAAATAAACCTTACACAAGGGTTGTCTTCGACAAGCAGTTTCTCTAAATAAAAAGGTCATTAGAAGGCTCAGTGTCCTATGTTAAGATAACAAAATCAAGCTTTGAAGTCTGACAGCTAGTCACAATTTAATGCTCATAAACCACCTCAGAGCTACAAACCATCACACCACAATATTGTAGCAATAGTTTCATCGGGTGCTGTCACCAATCCTAGTACTCTGGTTGAAAATTTTCAAAATTCTCTTTTTACAGCCACAAGTTATGTCCGCTTCTTCTTTCATAGGTCAGTTACCTTATAGTTCTTCAAGTATGTCACCTTATGAATGGGTTTTGGATTCTGTGCTTCACATCATGTCTTCAAATTCTTTATCTTTTACTTGTATATCCCTTTCACCTTCTATTCATGTCATGACTGCTGATGGCACTCTCATGCTCTTAACGGGTATTGATTATGTTGTCACACCTCACTTGTCTCTCCATGACATTTATTTTCTTCCAAAACTCACATTAAATCTTTGCTTATATTGGTCAGATTATGTGATTCTAGCGATTATTTAATTATCTTTTCCTTTTATTTTTATACAGGATCTGCACTCTTGAAAGCTGACTAGGATAGACTATATGAAGAAAAGACTTAATTTTAGATGAGTTAAAAGCACCCATTACTATTGATAGTGCTACTAGTGTTGATTTGTCTTCTTTTTGTATGTCTTAGTTTTCATTTATGGCATTCTTGTCTAGGTCATGTTTCACCTTCTCATTTGAGATTTTTGACCTCCACGGAAGCTTTGAAAATTTTGCAAACTTGTGACATTTATGATTGTAGTAGATGTAAACTGACAAAAATTTTCACTTTACCTTTTAATCTAAGTATTTATGTTTTTGTTTCTTCATTTGATTTAATTCATTCTAATATATGGGGACATTCTCCTGTTGAGTTTATTGTTGAGATTATTTAATGAAACATCATTCTAAAATCTTTGAGATATATACAACCTTTAAACTCTTATCAAAACTCAACATTCTGTTATCAAAAGTTTTCGGTGTGATTTGAGTGGGGAATACACCTTTAATAAATTTTGTGAGTTAATTGTCTTAGATGGAACCATTCATCAATCTTCATGTATAGATAGCCTTGAGCAAAATGACTTTTCTGAATAAAAACATAAGCACATTGTTGAAATTGCTCATTATCTCTTGTTGTCTACTTCTATTCCTAGAGTGTTTTGGGGAGAAGCTATTCTTACAGTTATAGGTTTGATTAATACAATTTCATCTTCTCATATTAAGTTTTTCTCCTTTCAAAGTTGTCAAAGCATGCCCGTGATTATTCCATCTTTAGAGTTTTTTATTGTACTTGTTTTGTTCTTCGTTCTCATGTAGAATGTAGTAAGTTGTCCTCTACATCTGCTATTTGTGTCTTTCTTGGTTATAGTGAAGGTAAAAAAAAAAATTATTATTTTAATCCAATAACTCATAAACTTTATGTCTCATCATGTTGTCTTGCTATAGCATATACCTTTCTTTTATATTCCATCTATTACTCATAGAGTTGTTTCTATAATCAATTCGATCCCCCGCTCCAATCAGGGGTGACAAGATCTTATCTTATTTGTATAGATACTTTTTTTTAAGATTCTAATAGTTTATTTTCTAGTACTTCAAACATCTCTTCTCATGTTTGATCAATTCATAATGATCATTTTGCAAATACTGACATTTTACTCTCCAGTACACCTAAAGCTTCCTTTTCTTTTATAGTCTCTTAAATATAATTTCCAATAATCTATGATAAGTCAGATATTCTGCAGGTTCTTTATTTCTGTTGTATTTCTTTGGATTGTTTTAGTAAAACACAATAAACAGAAATAATAGAAGCCAAGCACACCTCTGTCTTGATTCCCAATCCAAGTGATGCTATGGCAGCTACAATCAAGATGATGAGGGTTAAATCTTGCCAAGCTTCCCAAAGGAACCTCTGCAATTAAAGCATGGGGTAAGCAAAATATTGGTCATTAAGAAGAAGATAGCAACTCAAAACCACATATTATACCCAAAAACCACGTCCTTTTTTCTGGGGATATCTATTTGTTCCAAATGTGTTCATTCGCTTTATCAAATCATTCTCATCTCCAGCAATACCAGTGGCAAGATTGGTTTTCAGCATACTTGACAATCCTTTAACCTGATTGAGGAAGAGATGACACACATTGTAAACAAGTTTACACGTGAAATTGTGTAAAACAAGGAAAGCATGTTCGCAATTGACTTACGCCACCACATTGTTGCAGAGAATAAATATTATGATCCCTGGTCATTGAAGCGAGTTCTTCAAGTCCAATTGCATAATCACCTGTAACAGTTGGAGGTGTAGCTGAGGGACCCAACACTAGAGAAGCAAAAAACAAGTTAATACAAAAAATCTATTTAAATGGAAAAGGTACAGCCCCAGAAACTCCAAAACAGCAGACTACAATATGTTCAAAAAAAATCCAGAATCTCCACATATAAACTCATTTGGCTACATCAAAGTAAGATTCTTAGCAGCGAAAGAAGATGATTAAAAAAGTATTTGAGAGCAACATACCAATTTGTCGTTCACCCGCCAACCGAAAGAGTAATGCGGCCTGAAACAACAAATAACTGTTAATCAAGAAATAAGACAGCCTCAAGTGCATGATGAGAAGCTCGCTAATGTTAGAAAAATCACCCTTATAACTTGCGCATGAGATCTGACCATCCGTCTTCTTTGCTCTCTCTCTTCTTCCTTTTTCAAGTCCAAGGTGTACCGAAAACGCCGTGAAGCATTTAACACAAGTGCTGCTTGCTGCAAAAAACACGAACAACTTTAGGAGCAACCCAAGAAAAAACAAATACAAATCAAACTTGCAAGAAAAAAAAGTCCAAACCTACACCAGATTTAGCATCCATTGCTTAAAAAACGAATCACCAAGTGTATAAAACCGACAACGAAAATAGAGTGTTCATATTCAAAAAAATAAAAATCTATACATGTTCTAACTACATACAAAACCACCTCCCTCTCCCTCTCCATCTATAGACAGTCAACCACCATTCATCTAAATAAATAAACATCATCCAACGCAAATGAAACTCAAAACACCAAATGCGTCATCTATAAACCAGAGATAAAAATCCATTCAGTAATGATATTAATAATAACAGCAAACATGCAGCCAATGCAGCATTATAATAACAATGATAAAATAACAGTAATAAAGAAAAAAATATTTACCCTCCATCGGCGAAGAATCTCGAGAGGAGCGTTTTTGGTATGAGCGATATCAAAAGGATCGTCGTCGTCAAGTTCAAACTCCTTAATAGGTTGTCCCACCTCCAAGTCATCAGTCTTCCTAGGGGATGCCGAAGACGGCAGTAACCCGTTGGATGAACAGCTGCTTCTCGTGGTCATTCTCTCTTCTTTGGATTTGGCTTCTTCTTCTTCTTCGAATCTCCTCATCTGTTATCTTTGTTACAACAACAAACACAGAATATAGAGACTTTAATGTCGCGTGGAGAGATGGCGCATGAAAATCCCGACGGTTGTTGCAGCGGGAAAAGGATAGGCCACCACCGCCAGCTCCTCAACTCCAAAATATACGTGTACCAAACCAACGCACCGTAAAATCAAATCAGTTAACAAATAAAAATAACGGAAACAGATGAGAGGGTGGGTGAGAGAATGTTGGAGTGATTGGGTGGTGTGCGCGGTAATGTCGGAGGCGTTAGTTACGGAGGAAGTTGCTGTTAGGTTTTGTTAGATAGAGAGATGTAACAAACTTGTAACAGAAAGAAAATAAAAGAAAAACCAACAACCACAACAACAACAACGATGATATGATATTAAGTAGTTAAAAAAAGAGTTGGATACGGCAGGTTAGGTTACCATGACGGCGGGGATCGGGTGGTTTTGGTGGCGGGGAGAGAAAAAACGGTGGGTTTGGGGAATTAATCGACAGCTCATGTGAAGCGTGTGGGTGGAGAGAGAGCTGATGTTTTTGTTGGAAAAAAATTGAAAACTAACAATAGGAAACTTCCTGGAACCCGCGCGAACCTCTGACAAGTACACTGGTGCTTTGATTTTGACTGTTCTATTTCGGTCCCTAAAGTTTAGCATGTGTTTATTCTTGACAGACTGTCCTTGTTGATTGCATTGGCTTCTTTGTTCATGGTTTTCTCTAGAGAGGTGGAACACGAATTGTCTAGAATGGAGGCTTATGTGAGGGAAGATTGGGATAATTTAAGAGTTGAAAACAAAAGATAATGTAATGGGAATAATGCAAGAGCTTACAGGATTTTTTTCTGCGAGATAAGCTTTAATTTGAAGGGTTTAATTTAAGAAATAAAATTATAGGACTGGGATATAATCTCTTACGAGCTTGTGTTTCATGGTCATCTCATTCAGTATGAACCCACCTTCTACTTCATGCAACATCTCGAGGGTAAAATGTCTAAGAGCTCGCCACGATGCACAGTTTTCATGTACTCTATAGTGCTTTAAAAGACTAAAATAAACAAAATCGCGACTTGATCGCTGAAGCATAAACTTTCGGCTAACTTGATCAGGAATCTTGACATTTGTTTCAATCAGGTCATAAACTTAGCCTGTACGTGTACTAGTATCCAAAACATCCCAGCTGGCCCTATTTTGTTTTTTCTTTTTAGAAAAACAAATGCATGTGTCTGGATAAATATAAAGTTTAGTGATCAGTGTTGATGTTGTCGTGACTTTTGGGGACTGAAACGTACATCACCTGCTCTTTTTTCGAGTTGTGATTGTAAGAGGTGTGAAGTCCTCCCCCCCTCCCAGAGAAAAATTGCGAATGGATGGGATGGGAAGGGAAGAGGTTGCCTGAAAATGAAAAGACAATGAAATGTTTTTTTTGCAAAAAAAAAAGTTAAAGTTTTAAAAAATTTATTATTTATTTTAAATTAATATTATTTTTTTATAGTTTCATACCGTTTTACTATATACTAATATTAAAATAATTTTCAAAACTTAAAAAAATTACTTTAACATATTTTTAAATTAAAATTATTTTAAAAAATAATCATTACAATATCTCTAGATATTTTTAATATATTATTTCTTTTTAGCATATCATTTCTTATGAATGTGTTAACATAATAAATTTACCTGCTTGTTTTTTAGTTTAAAAAATATTTTTTAAAAAAAAATAAAAAATTATTATTTTATCTACTTTAAATTCATATATTTTTAATATTTTTAAGTTATTTTAATATATTAATATTAAAAATAATTTTTAAAAAATAATAAAATATTATTAATATAGATTTTAAGACAAAGAATATTCGATAAACAGACACTTTAAAAAAAAGCTGGAAAAAAAGAAAGTGGGAATCGATAGTGATTGATTTATTGCTTTGTAAGCGTGTTAGTCAAGCAATTATTATTGTCAGCACTTGAAAAAAACTGGCCTTGTTGACTTTATTGTTTCTTTTCACGAGTGAAACTCCAGTCCTGTATATGAATTTTATATTGTGATATAAAATATTTTTAAAAAAATAAATATATATTAAAATATTTTTTTTTAATTTATGTTGACTTTATTGTTTCTTTTCACGAGTGAAACTCCAGTCCTGTATATGAATTTTATATTGTGATATAAAATATTTTAAAAAAATTTAATATATATTAAAATATTTTTTTAATTTTATATTAGCATATTAAAATTAAAAAAAATATTTTTAAAATATTTTTAAAATAAAATACATTTAAAAACAAAAATTACAGCACTCCTACATAAATGGAGGCATGTGTGAAAGAAAAAAATTATGCCAATTTATAGGTTAAACAGTGAAGAAAAAGGTGGCAATGATAATACATAAATTTTTAAGATTTTTTATATGAAAGAGTTCTTCATTTTAGGGATATAGTTTTTTTTTTAAAAAATCAAGACTATAATAAGACTAAAGGTAATTTTTTAAAAGTGTAGGTGTCATGGTGGTCTCACCCCAGTGCTCAATCTTATAGTCCCATTAGTTGGATGGTTATGCGAGATGATAAGGTTGGGAAACTCAACTATTGCTGTCATAGCCTCACACTTCAAGGGTCAAGTTTTACAAGTTATGTGGTGTACAATTTCGGAGTATGTGTATTATTGTGGATGCTTTTGCTCCTGAGACATGCCACGGTTTAGTGTTGTTTGTTAACATGTTTTTATTATTACAGCTGAGATCTTCTCCGTCAATTTAAAACAACTAAAACTCTTCAGTATTTTATTGTAGACTGTACGGTAATTTACTGTGGACTTCCACATTGTAATTATTATTTTGCTCTTTTCTGCGCAAAGTTTTTGCTTTGCTTGCAGGGCTATAATGATAATTTTCTATGATATCTAAATATCATTTACAATTTGACTATGAACATTTTAGTAGTTTATATATATTTTTTTTATACACTTGAATTGTATAAATGCCCTTAAAAAGCCCTGCTAAGAGGGCTTTTGTGCACTGCTGAAAGTCAATATAATGAGTCAAAAGATATTTCAATATTTTTTGTAATTTTTTTTTGTTATACTCTATTATTAGTATTTATATATATATATAAAGTTGTTGGTGTGAGTGGATGCTATCTTCATCTTTCAGTCAGCACGTGTCACAGCTAAAATCTCTCAATTATTGTTGTCTGAAGTGTCTAACAGTAACATGTTGCTTAAATTATGATAGTTATTTTTTTCTCTCCTCCTCTTAATTCCTCTCTTCGCTTCTTCAAATTTGTGCTGGGCTAATCAAAAATCAAGGTTGTTTTTGTATTTATTTTATCTTTCAATTATGATAAATTTTTTATTGATCTTTCTTTGTTTTAAATTCTTTTTAGATTGCTTTTTATTTTTTATTTTTATTTAATCAAAAATTGTTTCATTTGTTTTTTATCAAAATTTAGTCCTCATACTTTCAATTCCAAAAAGACTCATTGGTCTTTATATTTTTTAAATTACCCTTAATTTCTCTACCTTTACCATCTTTTTTTCTTTCCCGCGTGGTTTTTTTTAATTTCTCTACCTTTACCATCTTTTTTTCTTTCCCGCGTGGTTTTTTTTAAAAAAAAATCCTTGTCATTGTTTCATCTCTTTTTTAAGATTTAATATAGCTTTCATCAAACAATTTTCACTTATCTACTATTCAGGCAGCTCAAATACTTGCTGTTGTTGAGCTTGGTCATGTATTGAGCCAGAAATTCATGAGTATAGCGAGTTATTGGACTATTATTTCGAAGCTTAGTTAAGTGCTGAACTATATTTATAAATTTGATAAATTTTCAAACCTATTATTTTTATTAGTAGTTATGTGGTGAGCACAAATACCCTCTAATATATCAAAAATTTATTATTTTGATGAATTTATAAATCATATATATTATTTTATCATAATGGAACAAAAATGTTTTACGAACATTCTAGCATTTCCCCTAAAAATAAAAGGCATCAGAGGGAGTAAAACAATTATGATTGTGCTCGGTGTAGAAAAATCTATACTCTAATGGATAATTGAATTTTCTCAAATAAATTATACTTTAATCACTACAAAATTCTCAAGTACATTAAAAAAAAATCTTTCATAGGTAATGATGAAGACCTGCTTTTATCATGGAAGGGCGAGTTAGGTTGTGAGAATTAGAAAATTAATGTTTCTATCCTCGGGTCATGCCTCCTTTCAAGCCCACATGATAGAACAAGACTTGTCGATAGATACACAATTTAGAAATCATATAGCCATGAACTTTACCAGGGACTGAAATGCACATTGCCCTTTTCTTTCAGGACGCGGTTGGGGGTATAAACAAATAAAAATGTGGACGAATGAAAAGAGAGACAGAGAATAAATCATTTCTCATAGCTGTTTGAACACGACAATTTTTTTTTAAAAAACACAAAAGTGTGTGGATCAATCGTGATTGATTTCATGCTTTGCATGTCAGTCACGCTACTGTTAAAGTGTATTTTATATCGTAGTCAATAGTGTTTTAAAAATATTTTTAATTTAAAATATATCTAAATAATTTTTTAAAATTTATTTTTTTTATTCTGGCATGCCAAAACTATTAAAAAAATACTTCAATCTAATTTTTTTAAAGTTAAAGCTGTCTAAATGCGAAAAAAATTATACATTAATTTAATCCAGTAAATTGACCACCACGTAGGTAGTGGAGTGCTTGTCATTTTAGAGAACAAATAGAGAGATAGGTGATTTTTTTTCCTCGATAATTTAGCATGATCCCAGACACGAGAGACAAATTCTCTCCCTCGATTCTGGCTTTTATTAATCAAGTGCTTGTCCTAGCAATTGAAAGGGATATATTTCTCCCCTTTCATGATTCAAACTTTGAAATTAACGTGAAAAAAAAAATCATAATTTTATTTGATTACATCTGTGAAAGATGCATTATTAAAATAATTTTAAAAAATAATTTCAATTAGCATATATTGATAAGATAAAGTGTATTTATATGGACACCGTAACCAATATATAATCTATGAGTATATAAATTTAGTACTCAATGAATAATAAACAAAATATAAATATATAAAAATCCGACTAACGGGTACCATTTTGCAACCTATAATTGATACTGGTCCAGTGATATTTTTTAGAGGTTTTATTCTTAATTTAATGTCCGTGTCCGAGGACAGCATCAATCACCCTTCAATGACTTCATCAGCAAGTTCTCCTACATAAAAAGAAGTTTGATGTATTTCCCCACCAATTTATGTTAGAGAAAACAGAAACAACATAAAATAATTTCAACGTCTTGGATATGAAAGAAGGATGTGTGTAGATCTGGACAAATTATCCTATTTATTTTTTTCAACTACGAGACAATCAAGGGACAACCCCGAGAGCCAGGGTCTTGTATGTTGCATCATCATGCTCAAGTCAATCTGTTCATGAAGGACTTTAAGGTCGGCGCCCCTCCATTTGACGACTGGAAAGAGGGGCCATGGCATGGGGTTTCCTGATGGAAGCACACTCATGAGCAAAATTTGGCGCAATTTCAGGCTGT